GAGTTGTCTTTATCTGATGAGAAATTCTTCTGGCAGCAGTCACTTGAGGACTGGATGAAGCTGGAAAGCCAGTTTATAACACAAAGCACCAAACTCCAGGCCAACTGGTTCAAAGTCAAAATTGGCCTTCCAAGCTCAAACCAAGGAATGGGCCCTGCCCAGGGCAGACTTAGCAGCTAAATATACCAACTAGTTAATCAAGACAGACATACTTGACCAACATTCTTAACCAACGGGGTTTTGGTTTGTGGTACTCTGGAAAATCTCAGGCTACTGACCCATGCCCTCTACTCTGAATGAGCATATTTCTGAGATCCTGGGGACTAACCAAGGTTTGAATTTTAGGATTGTCTCTAGCAAACTTGAAATCAGCTCTGTCCACCAAGAGAATTCAAACTGGGTTCACCTGTGCCCACTGTGACTGAAGTTCCTGACAGGTTGGCAATCCTGCTGGTCTGGTGTTGGGGCTTACACCACCCCCTTCCAGGAGTGGGTGAGGGACAGGTTTTTTTGTAGGGTGTCACACTATTTTCTTTGATCCTTCCAACAGCTTCTTGGGTGTAGGGTTTATTTTTCTCACTTGCCCAAGGTCATGTCATTAGTATGTGGATTCTCAGGCCTGGTGTGGTGCCTTATGGCTATAATCCAGCCCTTGGGAGGCAGACCCAGTAGGATCTCAAGTCTGAGGGCAGCCTGTGCTGCACAGTGAGACCCTGTCTCAAAAATAGTAATAAAGTAATACCAGCTCGTTGTAGAAGATGAATATCAACTGTAGCCCTCTTTAAGGATTTTATTTCCATTTGGCAGGGATGGAAGTCCCAGCTCCCTAGTTGGCCTTCTCTGATGCCACCTTGGTGGCAGTTTGAGGTGCTTCCTTACAGCCTGGTGAGGGCAGAAGCCTGGGCTCTCCATTCCGCCTGTGATGATATGGTTCGGGGGCACTTTTGTTTCTGTGGTATTCAGCTGGAGTAAAATGGTTTCTATTTGAAACAATGATTACAAAGGTTTTTTTTATTGAATTGGTTTTCACTATCATAATTAAGCCCTCATTATGTCAGTTTCCTTATTTTTTATTTTTGTGGTAGTACTGGGGTTTTGAACTCATGGACTTGCATACTACCTCTTGAGCCACGCCTCCAGCCTTTTGCTTTTAGGTTATTTTTCAGATAGGGTCTCATGTTTCTGCTGGGGGTGGATTTCAGACCTCAATCCTCCTACCCATGTCTCCTGCATAGCTGGGATTATAGTGTGAACCACCACACCCACCCAGCTTGTTTATTGGAATGGGAGCTCACTAACTTTTTGCCCAGACTGACCTCGAATCAAGATCTTCCTGAGATCCAGCTCCTGAATAACAGATTACAGATGTGAGCTACCATGCCTGGCTCCTTGTTTGTTAAATGAGTATAATAACTATCTACCTCACTGAGCACTGAAGGCTCACTCCTGTAAATCCTAGCTACTTGGAGACTATACTGAACAGGAGGATTGAGGTTAGAGACCAGCCCTGGACCTTGATCCTCCCATTTATACCTCTTTTCTAGCTGGGATGACTGTCATTGCCCTTGAACTCAGGAAGCTACCCCATCTGGGCCTGCTCAGAATGAGCACCACAGAGCTTTCTCTTCTAATTGTTCTACTCTCTGTCTTATGACTCTTGTAAACTTTGTGCGTGTTCATTGTCATTCCTGAGTTAACGTTACCATCTTTTAGTCTTGTCTTCTCTTCTGCTTGGCACCAGTTTCATTTATTTGGTTACATTCCAAGTCTCACTAAAATTTAGTTACATCAATCTATTTTTGTCGTACAGTCTTCTTCCATTACTTTTGATTGTAGCTTAAAACACTTCTCTTCCTCCACATATTAATAGGGAAGCAAATTGATACATAGATAAATTTCCCCTTGTAACATAATTTTTTTAGTTTGAACAGTTTTGCTTCTCTATTGAAGTGAAAAGTAAATTTTCTGATATTTTTCCAAAATGGATTATAAAACAGAAAACATTCCTTGAAAATAAAATCCATAAAGTACTGTCTCAAAAACAAAGGAAAAGAAAAAGGAAGTGCAGTGGTGCTGTAGTGGTGACATAGCTGCCTTCCCAGCCCACCACACCCTGCTCTCTCTCTCTCTCTCTCTCTCTCTCTCTCTCTCTGTCTCTCTGTCTCTCTCGCTCTCCTCTCTCCCTTTTCCTTCCCCTCTCAGGTTTATCAAAAGAGAACACAAGAACTGCTTTAAAAGAGCCCCAGGATACAAAAGTGAAAATCTTGTACAACATCCCCATATATCAGGAGGGCAGGCCTACTAATCCTATGCCCAGGAGGCTCACCTCAGGGCAGCGTTGCCCGTGAGGCCATAGACACTGGGCGGACTGCTGGAAGACTCCGGGCCTCTCCCCTCACCTCTTCCCTTACCATCTCAGAGAAGCCACAGTGCCCCACACTCCGTGAGTGTGTTCCCTGTGTGCTTCCGTGTATGGTGTGGTCCAGAGGACGAGTTGGAAGGACCCCCCCACTGTCCAGTAAATCTTGGAGAGAGGAGATGGGAAAAGAACAGTTGTTTTTTAACTTTACATATAATTTATTTTTTTTGCGGCACAGGGGTTTGAACTCAGGGCCTCGTGTTTGCTAGGCAGGTGCTCTACTGCATGAGCCACTCCATTTTATATATTTATATATATATATATATTTTTTTTTTTTTAAAAACAGAAGAGCACAAATTCACTTTATTTACTTTTCTTTAGTTTAAATCCTTGAGGGGTACAGCATCACACGGATCCTGTGTCCAATAGCCTTAGCAGGAAGGTTGCTTCGAAACTTGGCCCGAACCATGCCACTGTTTCCATGGGCACGAGTTACCTTTCCCCAGATCACTCTGGTTTTGTTTGGTTTGCCACCAGGAGTCACTGTGTTGTTTTTTGCTTTGTACACATAAGCACATCTCTTGCCCAAGTAGAATTCGGTTTCATCTCGGGCATAAACGCCTTCAATTTTAAGAAGAGCCGTGTGCTCCCTCTGGTTCCGGAGACCCCGCTTATAGCCAGCAAAAATGGCCTTGCACCATAGCCTTCCAGACATATTTGCCTTTTAGAAGTCCTGTTCCCAGCAGGCCCTCCACAGGCTCCAAGATGGCGGAAAAAGGTTTTTTTATATTGTTTTACTTAAAAAAGCAAAAGGTCCTAGAATATAAAAAATGTTCAATAAAGGTTTGGCTTAAAATGAAAAGGAAATCTACCTGGGGACACAGTAGAAGCAGTGACAGGGAGAAAAGACAAGTGATACACAGCCTAGAGAGTAAAGATGACATTGCAAATAGAAGACTGTCTAGAAAGCTGTCACCTCCCCTTCCCTTATCATTGTCATTTTTCAATAGTAAAATCAGGGGTAGGGCAGTAAGCAGGCAGGCCAGGTGTGCATAGACAAGAAGGCACATTATACACTCACGAGCACTACGCCAGGCCTGTGCTGGGAGCCAGCCATTCTTGCCTGTTTGAACCCCATCTGGAGAGACAAACTAGCTTGAGGTTGCCCTGGCAGGTGCAGGTATGCCCCAGCAGGTGGCAGCACAACCTCAAAGATCCTGGGCTAGGAGGTAGGCCTTGAGTCAGGCCCTGACCGGTGGGCTCTCCCTTCGTGGATGCTGGCTGCCTGCCTGGGAAGGTTCTTATTTAGCACACTTGGGTGTAAAAGTATTTATTAGTTCCATCTGAACTTGTAGTTAGCTGTGCCTCTCAGGAGCTTCAGCAGCTGGTAACCTGTATAGAACAGGAGGGACAGAGGCAGATTTTATGATTTGTACCCTATTTTTACTTATACTAGCTCGGTAGGTCATAGGTGAAAAAGAATCTTGGTAGCTATGTTTGTTTTTTTGCTAATATAAGAAATTTACTAAGGCAAGATCACTAGTTCAAGGTTAGTAGGCTATCCAGAACCTGTTTCAAAAAACAAAAATAAAAAAATAAATATTAGAACTGGGCATGGTGGTGGAACCTTATAATTCCAGCTACCTGGAAAGCTGAGAAAGGAGGATCTCGAGTCCAAGGGCCAGCCTGGGCTACATCGTGAGACCCTGTCTCAAAGGGAAAAATTGTGTCTGTGTGTGTACACGCACACATGCATCTTAGGGAATATTAGAGACATACAAAGATGGAACTAAAAGTAGGCCAGCAAGCACTCTATCACTTGAGCCACACTCCAATACATTTTGCTCTGGTTATTTTGGAGATGGAGTCTTACTATTTACCTGGGTGGCCTCGAACTGCGATCCTCCTGATCTTAGCCTCCCAGCTAGCCAAACTTACAGGCATGAGCCATGGCACCCAGCTGAGTATTGTTTTTTTCACTCACATTACCCTAAAGGTTTCTTTCTAAGTCAGTATCAGAGACCTCTGTCTATCATAATTTTTTTTTTTTTGAGACAGGGTCTCATTATGTAACCCAGGCTGGCATTAAACTTGAAATCCTCCTGCTTCCACTTCCTGAGTGCAGGGATTACAGCTGTCATAATGTTTTTAATGGGTCTGGCTGTCGGACATTTGGCTGGTTTTGGTGGGTACCTAGTATAAATAGTGCTTCAGTGTGCATCCTTGTATATTTATTTTGGCATACTTCTACAAGTCCAAATTCCAAGGGTTTGCTAAAGGGAGAGTGCATTTTAAAAGATGATGCCTAAATTTTCCTTCAGAAAGTTGGCCCCAGCTTCCATGCCTACCATGAGTGTGTAGAGCTGTTTGCAAGTGGCTACAGAGAGACCAGGATTCAATGCTCTTTCCCCTTCCAGGAGCCTGTTGATAGTGGCATTTGTGAAATCGAGCACTTAGCAGGAAGTAGGCTGCCCCTCTGATGGGTGGCCTTTGCCTCTTTCGGGCACATCTCCATGGTGGCTGTGAAGAGGGAGCCAGAGCCTCTCTTTTAGGGGGGCCTGAGATTTTCTCACTGCTTCAGCAAGGTTTTTCTGTAAGTTCCTGGGGTGAGGTGAATGACCACATCTTCTGACTCTTCCAGGTGAAGAAAGCATACAGGCAGAAGGCCCTCTCCTGCCACCCAGACAAGAATCCAGATAACCCCAGAGCAGGTGAGAGTCTCCCAAGGGCACTGGGAGAAGAGATCTGCTCTCCTGGCCATTGTGTCTTGCTGACCTGAGCTGTGTGTGAGCGCTGTGGGGTGCAGGGCTCACCTCACATGTTAGGGGCATCTGACACACATATTTTCCTTCCATTCTGTCATCTGATGTTGGTTCTCTGCCCTCTGTGGCTTCTCTGCAGTGCTTTTTTGGGGAAGCACATCGTCACCAAGTCTAACTTAATTTTTCTTCTCTTGTTTTTTTGGTCCTTATGTTTAGCTGAACTTTTCCACCAGCTTTCCCAGGCTTTGGAAGTATTGACTGATGCTGCAGCCAGGGTAAGCACCCCCTCCTTTAACTGAATTGTCCCTTTGATTAGAGATCCAGTGGTTTGCCTTCAACTGTGGCACACTCTGCCTGTCTGCATGTGGCACAGTTCTTGCTGTCTAAGCTTGGAGATCCAGTCACTAGGCTGCCACCCTGATGGCTCTGGGCTAGTAGGCAGGAGCTAGGAAGATTGCTGGGGCTCTGTCCTTTTTCTCTGGCTGACCTTCTGCATTTCGTTCCTTTCTCCTGCTAGGCTGCATATGACAAGGTCAGGAAAGCCAAGAAGCAGGCAGCAGAGAGGACCCAGAAACTTGATGAGAAAAGGAAGAAGGTGAAGCTTGGTAGGTGATCTCGAAGTGCTGTCTGGCTTGTACTTCCCTGGCCATTTTCTTTCTTTCTTTTTTTTTTTTTTTATTATTCATATGTACATACAAGGCTTGGGTCATTTCTCCCCCCTGCCCCCACCCCCTCCCTTACCACCCACTCCGCCCCCTCCCTCTTCCCCCCACCCCCTCAATACCCAGCAGAAACTATTTTGCCCTTATTTCTAATTTTGTTGAAGAGAGAGTATAAGCCATAATAGGAAGGAACAAGGGTTTTTGCTGGTTGAGATAAGGATAGCTATACAGAGAGTTGACTCACATTAATTTCCTGTGCGTGTGTGTTACCTTCTAGGTTAATTCTTTTTGATCTCACCTTTTCTCTAGTTCCTGGTCCCCTTTTCCTGTTGGCCTCAGTTGCTTTTAAGGTATCTGCTTTAGTTTCTCTGCGTTAAGAGCAACAAATGCTAACTAATTTTTTAGGTGTCTTACCTATCCTCACCCCTCCCTTGTGTGCTCTCGCTTTTATCATATGTTCAAAGTCCAATCCCCTTGTTGTGTTTGCCCTTGATCTAATGTCCACATATGAGGGAGAACATACGATTTTTGGTCTTTTGGGCCAGGCTAACCTCACTCAGAATGATGTTCTCCAATTCCATCCATGGCCATTTTCTTTCTTTCCTTTTTTTTTTTTTCTTTTTTGATGCTGAGGTTTGGACTTAGGACCTTGTACTTGCTAGGCAGGTGCTCTACTACTTGAACCATGTCCCCCCTCCCCCCAGCTTTTTTTTCTTTATTTTTCAGATAGGGTCTTGTGTTTTACCCCAGGTCAGCCTAGACTGCGTTCCTCCTCCTTATGCCTCCCTTGCAGCTGGGATGACAGGCATATGCTACCATGCCTGGTTTATTGATTGAGATGGGGGTCTCACTAACTTTTTGTTTAGGCTGGCCTTGAATTGTGATGCTCTGGATCTCCACCTCCCGAGTAACTGAGAATGCACGTGTGAGCCACTGTGCCTGGCCCCTGGCCATTTTCATTAGTCTCTCTCACCTTTCTTTCTGTTGCTTCACTTTGAGCAACTCAAAGCCTTTTGGCCCAGGCTCTGGGCGAAACCATTCTGAGACACTGGGTCCTAAAGATGCTCTTAGGAATAATAGCAGTTACAAGATTTACTGTTAAAGCGTAGAAACTTGCTGGAGTTGGGATTTAAACTCACACAGAGTGAGTAAAATTGGTGCTCTTATTCCCTATTCCAGGCTGTGTCTTTTTGTATTTATCCCAGCCTCATCCCTGCCCAGAGCTTTCACTGTGAGAAGCTCCCTCAGAAGGATTCCAAGAGGTCAGACTCTTTTTGAACAGTTTTGTTTTGAGATGTTCTTGCACATTATAATGTCTGTCCATTTCAAGTATATGAAGGCATTTTTATTCAGTTTACCAGCTGGCGCCACTATGACTGTAAACCAATTTAAAAACATTTTCATCAATTCAGTAAGATCGATCCAAGCACTCTCTACTCAGTTTTTCTCCCCTTCTTGCCTATAATATACATCATAACCTGTGCTTATTCTATCCCAATGCATCCATTTCTCTACCCAGAAATAAAGGGGCAGAGGACTGGGGTGTAGCTCAGTGGTAGAGAACTTGCTTAGCATGTGTGAGGTCCTAGGTTTGATCCCCAGCACCTGAAGAAAGAGAGAGAGAGAGAGAAGGTTGTAGGTAAGTAAAGTATGCACAAAGGAAAGAAAGCAGCAAGTCCTAGGCCTAAGAGAAGGGTTTGTTACAGCAATGTCCATCACAAGGCCACCAGCCTTGAGAGGTAGGCAAGGCTCCAGGACCTGGGGTGATGACTTTCTCCATCTGCCTATCTCTGGAGGAGCCTCAGTAGCCAGGGCCACAGTGAGGAGCAGGGCAGGGGGACAGTGAGAACTGGATCTCAGTGGTGGGAAATGAATCAAAGCAGAGAACAGGCCCATGTTAGGCTATAGCGCTAAACCACAGGAAGAGAGGCCAGCAGTTCCACCCACAGGGATCCCTAACACACAACCCTGGGCTGCTGACATAAGCACCCACTTGCACCCTGTTTGCTGTGTGGAGAGAACCAGCTTGGTCAGTGTGAGCTGTCTTAACTCTTCAGACTCTTGGCTACTTGGCTAGGGCCCACACTTTTTTGTCCCATACTTTTTTTTTACCTTTGTCATGGAAAGTGACTTGTGGACCTGTGGGCACGGTTGGGAGGGTGTGGGAGTTACTGTATGGTGTTGTCATGTTTGACACTTTGGGGAAGCAGCCAGAGCTGGGGTGGACTAAGGCCATACAGTGACTGCATTGGACCATTCAACCCTTATGCTAGACCTGGAGGCCCGGGAACGGCAAGCCCAAGCCCAGGGAAGTGAGGAGGAAGAAGAGAGCTGGAGCACCAGTGCGTTGGAACAGGAGGTGAGCATTCAGGCCCACCACCCCAGGGCGTCTGCAGGAGGAGGAGGAGGAAGAAGGGGGGGGGCCCAGGTGGTCATGATGGTGTGTGTAGGGGGGTGGGGGGAAGATGCGCTTTTCATCTTCTTCTGTAGGAGCTGGGTGATTTGTTCCACCCACAGGTTGCTGAGCCATAGCTTGCAGGTGGAACCTGTCAGGGACCTTTGCAAGTTAAGACAACTTTGAATTGGATTTGCATAGAGTTGTCACCCCTCCGCCCCCTGCTCTGCAGATTGCACGCCTACGAGAAGAGGGTTCCCGGCAGTTGGAAGAACAGCAGAGGCTGATCCAGGAGCAAATCCGACAGGACCGTGAGCAGAGGCTGAGAGGTGAGAGTCCTGCACTCTTCTGTGTCCCTCCAGGGCAACAATACCTCTTCCATGTTGGCTGCTTGGTGGAATGACTGTGCTGGCTTCCATCTGCCAGAATCCTGTGGGTACACCACTCCAACACATGCCACCTACCCCTTCTTCCTACCGAGTCTTGGGGTCCTATGTGCTTTTTACTCCTCCTGGCTGCATTGGTCTTTGTCTTAGTCCCAAGCAGAGGAAGTTCTCATTTGTTGGGGGGGGTGTTAGGGGGAGGGAAAGGGGTGCTTTGATTCACTGGGCCCCTATGGTTTATGTCTCTGCTTCTGGCCCCTAGGAAGCATTCCCAGCTCTTGGAGAGAGTTCCCAGGTAACCTGCAGGAGGTGGCTGGGCAGGCCACACTGTGGTGCGCTGGGATTGCATCTACTTTTTCCACCAGGCCCCTCACTAGGGCAGGGTAGACATTACCTTTTGTCAGGAGTCCTCTGGCTGAGAGGTGTCTTTCCTTTGGGAAAACCTTGGACTCCCTCTCTCTGCCATCTTTTCCCAATCTTTCTAGAAAAGGAAGAAAATACTGAAGGCAGAGGAACCCCCAAACTAAAGGTGAGTCTGGGGGGATCCATGGGCCACCTTATAACATCTCCTCTCAGTCAGAACAGATGCTTCCTGCAACTCTAGGGCTCTGCAGGGATGCTGATATCCAAAGGAGCCAGCATTGCTCTCACATCCTCTCTATCCTTCTGTTGCCTAGAAACCAGGCTGCTTCTTAGAGCCTGTCCTGAAAGATAGCTGTAGTGCTGGCCATTGCAGGGCAGACATTTCCAGAGGCCCTCTGAGGAGAGTATCTTACTAGGCAAGAAGAGTCACTGAGGAGTCACAGGAAGAGTAGCTGAGCTTTCCTCTCAGCTACCATGGGGAAATCCCATTTTGTGTGGTGCTCCCTAGATCACAGGTGCTTGGAGACTAGGAAGGCATCTGCTCAGACTGTCAAGCTCAGTTCTGGGGCCTGGCACTGTTCAGCAGAAGCCAATGTTTGGTGATGCTGTCTTTTCAGCTGAAATGGAAGTGCAAGAAGGAGGATGAGTCCCAAGGCGGCTACTCCCAAGCTGTTCTCCTGCGACTTTTGCAAAAGGTCTGGTCTGCTGGCTTCCTCCCTTTCCTGTTACCTCAGCCCATGGCTCAGCTCAAATGCCAGAAAGAACTTCCTTAGCATCTCTACCTGGATTTTTATTTTTTCTTTTTTCCCCTCTTCCTGCTGCCTCACAGACTATGGTACAGCCTAGAGACTTCTCCCTGGCCCATGGTCCTCCTATCTCTTGGGTTGCCTTGTGCCTTTTCCAGCCTGGTCTGTCCTTGGCTGAATGTGCTGAGAGAGGAGGTGGGTGTCTGACACGAAAGCCCCATCCTCTTCCCTGCCTTCAACCATCTTAGGCAGCCGAGGCCCCCAGTGCTTTGCTCATCTCTCTTGTCATGCTTTCCTAGGAAAAACTTTCTTATCTTTGATCTCACTTCTCTGGGCCCCTAGCAATAAGAAGTTATCCGCAGACTGAAAATGCCCCAGTAGGCCTTGTGGCAACCCAGGCTGGTCTCTAGCACAAGCTGGGCCATGCTGATAGCCCCACCATGGTTACTGGAACATCTTCTTTCCACAGTATGGTGAAGTTCTCAACCTGGTGCTTTCCAGGAAGAAGGCAGGCACTGCTATAGTGGAGTTTGCAACTGTCAAGGCTGCGGTGAGTGCTGCAAAGCACGTGGGAACTACTGGCAGCCCTGTCATTCTAGGCAGGGACCCAATATTGTGGGCCAAATTCTATGACCTGCACTCCCAGGTGATCTCTTGACCATCTCAGAGTCAAGGCTTCCGGAAAGGTCCGTGAATCCCAGGGTGAATGGGAGAATACTCTGACTTGATTTCACACTAGCTGGCTCTATTCCACACCCTCCCTCCTGCGCCCTTCTAGGTTATGAACTCAGCACTGCCTTCCTACCCTTTGTGCTCCTCCTTGCTACCAAGAGGACAAGGTGGGGATGTGTCCTTGCTACCAAATCAGAGGACACATCCCCACCACTCTCCCATGGCAAGGGCTAGAGCTTCAGCACACCATCAAGTATGCTGGCTCCATTCTTTGAGGGGTAGAGAGAGACCTCTTTTAGTTGATGGGATGGATGGGACCAGGACTGGGTGCTCTGTTTGGCAGGAGTTGGCTGTCCAGAATGAAGTAGGCCTGGTGGAAAACCCTCTGAAGATTTCCTGGTTGGAGGGACAGCCCCATGGCATCATGGGCCCCAGCCACCCAGGACTGTCAAAGGTAAGACCCCAGTTCCCCCCCGCTCCCCCAGGCCCTGCTCAGGGTCCTCTTCCTGTTTGCAGTCCTCTGAGTCTCTTGGTTGGCAGGAGTAGAGTGAGATTGCAGGCCCATCAGTCCAAGCAGGAGGGCTGCAATTCCCTGGTGACCTTTGTTCCTCTTGAGGGCCAGAGGGACCCTATCCTATGTATTCTGGGTTTTTTGTTTGTTTGTTTCCTGGAGCTGGGGATTGAACCAAGGGCCTCACACAGGCTAACTGCACACTGTACCACCGTTCATGCCCTCAGCCCTTCACAGTATCCTTAGGCCTTGCTTACCCTCCGGGTGTGTCTCCTGTTGGGGGTCACGTTCCCACTCAGAGGACTCTCCCTGCCACTGGTTGCTTGTTTGTGCATGAAGCATCCAGTGCTGTAGGAAGGAGCAGGTGCCCAGGACAGCTGTGTCCTTTCCTGGCTCTTCAGATTTCCATATGTGTCTCTGGCTTCCCATGCAGGGACTGACTGAAGAGGCAACCTCTCCTCTAGAAATAACACTAGCCCCCCGCTGACCCTGGGGTGCATCTGCCATGTCTGGGCATCCTGTTCTTGGTGAAGTGTACACCTTCTAGCTGGTGCTGGCCCAGTGCTGCCTCCTATAATTTGTGGCTCCACAATGGCCCTGGTGTTTTCTGGCCTGGATATAGATGCTAGGGCCACAGGGCTCCTGGGCCACCTGCCCCACCTTGGTGGGACTGATTGCTTTGGGGGCAGGAGTAAGCAGCCTGGTTCTTCCCTTTTCTGAAATGGCCTGGGCAACTGTTCAGTGTGTCCATAGCCCTTCAGTGGGTTAGCAGGAGCTCTGCTCACCTACCTGTCCCTCCACTTGCCTGAGGGAGGAACAAGAAGTGGTCTACCCCCAACTCAGGACCCTGATTTAGAAAAGACCTCATTATCCCACCTTAAGTCCAGCATTTTACAGTCCCAGGTGATGCTCCATAGATTGTATCAGAAAGAACTTTATTATGTCCTCTATATACAGCTTGGCACCCCTACACAGGGGAGGAAAAGGGAGGCCACAGATTTGGGTCATGGAGGCAGTGTGTTGAATCTCTCCTGTCCCCCTCTTTCTTGCCTGGAGAGCTTGCCTGGGTCAGAAGTACATGGTCCAGTCGAGTTCTATGGGCTCTGGTTTCAGATTTTCTAGCCAGGCCACAGGACAGGGCAGAAACACATCTGGACATGGGCTGGACATGGTTGGCAGCTCATCGTCAGAGGTATGGGCAAGGCAGAACTCTCCAGTCCTGGCAGAGGATTCTGGAGACCAACTTTGTCTCTTCATAGTTCAGTGGCCATCCACTGAACCAGTCCTCCCCTCTTCTGAACAGGAAGTTTACCACTGTTTTTGCAGCATTTCCCAAAGGCTTCCATCACTAGTAGTTCTGGACAGTCCCCAAAGCATCCCTTTGCAGGTTACGTCCTGCTGGTGGCTGGCACTTCCTGGAGGAGCTGCTTCCTCAAGCACAGGGACTGTTCCCAGCAGCTCTGTGGGCAGGTTTAGTCTCTCATGGCCTCTTTTCTGCTAATGGTTTGATTGGCCTTTTCCCTGCATTTGCCTTTGGATCTCTACCTCCCTCTCCTGCTCTGTCAGCCCCACACTGCCTTCACAGACCGTGGAGCCTTCCCTTACCCTGCCTGTGCTGCTGATGGCTGTGGGCCAGTGTCTAGCCAGCACTGTCCCTGGACCTTGGTCCAGTGGTTTCAGTGCTCATGCTGTTCTGTCCAGCATGGTAGCCATTAATTAGGTGTGGCTACTGAACATTTAAATTTGGTAGTGTGACGAGGAGCTGAATTTTCTACTTTGTTTTGCTTCAATGAATTGAAATTTAAATAGCCTTTGTAGCAAATGGCTACCAGATTGAACTCTCTCCCCTTTCCTCTCAGGCCTCCCCACTTTCCTTTGCAGTCTGGGTTGGATCAGTTCTTCCTAAATGTGTCCTATGACCTCTGTTGATGGAGGCTTTGGAGGAGGCTGGTTCAGGGCATGGTATGTTCTGCTCAGCCTGTGTCCTCCCACACCCTGTCTGCTCCTGTGCCACCCTGTAGCCTTCTGGCCTCTGCCTAGTTCCTGTGGTTGCAGGGTGTGGTCTTCCTTTCCTGGCCTCACCAGCTTCCTTCAGGGTTCCTGTCAAAAAATGACCCCCAATGTTCCCAGCTGGCCTCTGTCCCTCCATTCTGGGGTGACTTGAAGAGCTCTGGATTCCTACCCCTGCCTGTTCCTTAATCCATGGCTGTTCCTTACTTCCCTGAGTCCCCAAGCTCTACTCCTCCTGTCACCCCAGCTATGCTCACCCTCACCCCGCTCAGCAGTGGGGCTCACTGGGGAATTGCTCCCGCAGCATCTGTAGAACTTCCTCCAGAAGTGAAATCCCCAGGTCCACTTTGAAGGAGAAGAAAGGATCACTGAGGTCTGGACTAGGTGTCCTCGGGAAGGGGGAAGTGGCTGAAAGGTCCTCTTCTGAGAACTGGTGGAGGGGGCCTGCCAGGGAGAGTGCAGAGGGCAGGGTTGCTGAGTAGGTGGTGGTGTAGGTGGCTGGGGGCTCCAGGATGTTGGGGCAGCTGGAGCTCTCTCGGTAAAGACGTGGGGGTTTAGGTGGGGCCAGCAGAGTGGCCCGTGGCTGCTCATCCCCCCACAGGGGCAGTCGCCGGCCATCCGCCCTCCCTTGCAGTTCTCGGATGACCTCTCGATTGCTATACTCCTCATGGTCACCACCAGCAGTGCTGGCCTGGCTAAGTTCACTGCCCTGTCGCCGCAGTCGCCTTGGCCGCCCCAGGGTCAGCCGCTTGAAGAAGGAGGCATTGCGGAAGGAGCCTTTCCGCCAGGTCTCCATGGGGCCTAGGAAGCCAGCAGACAGGCCTGGCACCTCAGAAGCTCCACAGAGATGTTCAAGAGCAGCTAGTGACCATTTGGTCCCTGCCAGAGCAGTGACTGCCAGGAATCAGAGACAGCTCTAGTGGGCTGGAAGTAGAGGCTCTGGTTTCTGCTCAGCACAGTCTTTTGGACTGCATCTCAGGTGGTGTGATGAGGCTCAGGAAGAGGGTGTTTTTTGTCCAGGAGAGGAGAGAGCTGGGAGATCCTGGCAGAAAGCTCCCACAGGGACACAAGTGGCCTAGTTACTTCATAGGGATGTGGGAAAAACCCCAGAGGAAGACAGCACTTACAGAGCTGGAGCAAGAGCAGCCCGGGTAGCAGAGCTGGATCTTCTCAGCTGGGTGAGGGCTCTGTGTGCTCCTTTCACAGGCAGGAGGTAGGTGCGCCCCAGCTGGCCTTCTCTCTGGTGGCTCCCAGCCCCGTGGCTCTCTGGGCCAGTGTAGGGCTGAGCCTTCCCTGCCGGCAGCTGAGGGACTCTGATTAGTGGCTTGGCTGTTTTTGCCAGCTTGTGGCAGAGATGTTTTGTTTTCAGCTGACTCAGGCAGGTGGGAAGCCGGGTTTCATGCTCTGAGGTAATTGCAGCATCCACAGGCCTGGATTGGGGCAGCTGTGACCAACACCCCACAACAGTGGGGAGCTTTGGATTCCTCGGGACTGGTCTGGGGGCAGCCCTGCTTACTGTGTCACCTCACTGCTTCCTTTCTCACCCCAGCCCCACCACCCTAGCCCAGCAGGCGGGCCCCAGTGTGTCTGGGAGGAGCCCAGGGAGGCGGGCGCTAACTGAAAGGCAGGAGTGTGGAGCACTTGTTGGGAAGGAAGATGGACCTGTTGCAGGGTGCTGGGTCAGGTGACTCAGCCCTGGGGCCAGTGACAGGGCTCATTAGCAGGGCCTGGTGGAATGGGGGGAGGGAGGCAGAAGGGTGTGTTAACGGGGAGCAACCCCACGCCTATAAAGGGCTCACTCCTCCCAGGGCTGGTGGGGGCATGCCAAGGGTGACTCCAAGTTTTCTTGGCAGAGCAGTATTAATTTGAGGTAGTGCTACCTCCCTGGCCTGACATCTAGTCTGGCCGCTCAGTTTCCTCCTCCATCCTCTCCCTGAGGGCCTCCTGGGAGGAGAACAGTTGAGGGCCAGAGTCCTGCTGCTTCCATCTCCTCTGCTCTGGCCGCTGGATCTCATGTGGGGCCCTCTTCTGTGGAGAGGGTTGAGCTGTAAATTATCAGCAAGGCCCCCAGGGTCTGGCTGAGAGGGTACAAGGAGACATGCTGGGGCTGCGGAGGGCTAGGAGCTGAGTATCGCCTCCTGTTGCTCTGCACCCCTTACTCCAAACCAATTGGCCAGGGCCTGGCTGCTTACCTTCAGCTCCACCCTTCCTAATCCCCGGGTCACTGAACTCCAGTCCTTCCTCCCAGCCTGTTCCATGTCAGCATGTGCATTTGAAAGCACCTAATGGCTGGTTTACTCCTGTGCCAACTCAGGTGACTTCACTCTCTAAGCTGCTGTTGAACCACAAGAAGGTCTCCCAGCCTCAGCTACACTGAGGGAGGATGCGATCTCATCCATACTGCAGCCCTTATCAGCACGTGGGGGTGGCAGCTCAGGGCTCTGCTGTGGGGCTTCTCCACCCCTCAGCCTTGGCCATTGGAGCACTTGTTTATTAGTCTTATGGTCAGTAAAATATAGCCCTCCTTAATCCCCCCACTGTGCTGGCAAGATCATAAAAGAAAGCATGGGCCTGCCTCCAGGAGCCTGGGTGTGTAGCTTTAGAAGGCAAGCTGGCCTCATGCTCACTTCTCTTACCTATATTTTTGGTGGTACTAGAGTTTGAACTCGGGGCCTCACACTTGCTAGAGTAAGGGCCTTACTCACCTTCTAGAGTAAGGCCACTTGAGGCCGTTGGAAGGCAGGGCTCCCTTCCCCTGCATCCTCAGCAAGAGTCAGCCACAGAGAATCCAGGCAGCTACCAGGGTAGTGCTCTGGTCTCTGTGCCCAGCAGAGCTGGTGGATTGCTGCACCTCACACTTCCTCTGCTGGAAATTTGCCAGGCAGAAGCCACAGGCGGAGAGAATGAGTGTCAGATAAATGGCAAAGAGGAAATGAAGGGAGATAGGGCCTGGTGAGGCCAGGGGAAGTGATTCATTCACAAGGAAGGGCTGAACCTGAACTTACTGTAGATGTGAGGAGCATGGTAAAGGGAGCTGTGGGGGAGACTGCCGAGATGGGCTGGAGGGAGCCAGTCAAGGAGGGCCCGCCTAGGGAGCAAGGCCTGCTTGCTGTCAAGGACCATGGGTGAATTGAGATGCCTGAGGATGTTCCCAGTCCTTCCTGTCCTCTTTTTTTTTTTTGTGGTACCGGGGCTTGAACTCAGGGCCTACACCTTGAGTCACTCCACCAGCCCTTTTTTATGTTAGGTATTTTTGAGATAGGGTCTGGCGGAATTAATTGCCCGGGGGTGGCTTCGAACCAGCCCTGAGTAGTTAGGATTACAGGCGTGAGCCACCGGCGCCCGGCTCTGACAGACTGTAGCTCTGTCTGGGCTCCATCCTCTGAGTCTGGGCTGACCCCTCCTTGTCCTTTCTGTCTCCCAGGGCTCAGTGCTGTCGGAGAGGGACTATGAGAGCCTCGTCATGATGCGCATGCGCCAGGCTGCTGAGCGCCAACAGCTGATTGCCCGGATGCAGCAGGAAGATGAGCGGCAGCCCACGTAGCCCGCGGCTCTAGCTCTCCATCCCACACCCCTCTTCTCAGCACCAATAAACTTAAAAAAATCATCCACCCCACCTCTGTGTGCCTAGGTGCCTAGGGTGCTGAACTCTGCTTCCGAAGACTCCACCCAGGCCCAGGGCCCTCTTCCGGGCGGGGACAGACCCTCCCTGCAAATGCCATACTTCTTAGGTTCCTGCACAAGCGAACACAGGAGTGACCACTCATCAGACCCCTTTATTGGCTTAGACTAACTGCAGGACCCACCTGACCCAGGCCAGGGGCAGATTTAGTCAGAAGGCAGATGGGAGCACTGGGCAAGGGCCTGCACTCCCCACCCACTGAGGCAGGGTTTCCAATGCCCTTCATTGCTCATTGGTGCTGGACCAAGGAGAGTGACAATTTGGGAAGTGATAGGCAGGGCAGTCAGTGAGGCAGGACTTGGACAGGGCCCACAGTAGCCACTCCAAAGAACGGGTGCCCCTTCCACGAGTCAGCATGCCAATCACTCCTTGTGCAGGCACCACACCAGCGTCTGGCCCACTCCTGTCATGCTCAAAACACGGAAGCCCCTGCGTTCTAACTTGTCCAGGACAATGCGAGGAGGGTCGTTGACGTAGTACTCACAGCTGCAAAGAGATCAGAATGACAGTGAGGGACAGGGCAAAGCGTGTACTTTCCGGGCACTGATGGCTCTCATGCCTACAATCCTGGCTACCTCGGAGGCTGAGATCAAGAGGACTGTGGTTCAAGGACAGCCTGGGCAAATAGTTCTGGAGACCCCATCTCCAAAATAACCAGAGCAAAATGAGCTGGAGGTGTGGCTCAAGCAGTAGAGCAACTGCTTCGCAAGCACAAAGCCCTGAGTTCAAACCCCAGTCCCACCAAAAAAATCCAGTGTCTGCTGAGGGCCATACCTGGCCAGGGGCTCTCATTGGAATAACTCATATTTGCTGGCACTTCCTGGGTGCCAGGCTAAGTGCACAGTGTCTGTCTCCCCCACCCCCCAACCCCACTAAGCACTTCCCATGCCAAAGGAAGGTACCGTCCTTGTTCCCATTTATACAGCTTTCTCGTGTCACAGACAGGTCCATGTTAGACAGGCAGCAGCCTCCATGAGCACCCGCTCTGCTCTCCATGGGGCTAGCGCCTCAGCTCGGCCTACGGGTCCCTCCTGTCCTGGAGCAAAAGTTGGCCCCAATAGCTCCTGGCTCTGCCACTCTGGCGTTGGAGGATGCTTGGTTTTCCTTCTTTTAGATTTAATTGGTACTGAAGGGCCATGAGACATAAGGGGCTTGAGCCCCAAGCTGGCGTCTTGAGGCAAGTACCTCATGGCAAAATGATCGGTTGGCTTCTGCCCTCCAACCTGACCCAAGGGCCTGGAACTGGAACTCTGACAACTCTCCTCGAGTCCTGAGCCTGTGTGGTCAGGGTTCTCCCCCACTGCTGGGCAGGAAGGTGAGGGAGCAGAAAAGAAGCAGCGGCCTCAGTTTGGAGTGTGTTACAGATGCCGAGGGAAGTGGTCAAGTGCCCAGGCAGTGGCAAGCTGGAAGTAGGACCTGGGTGACCTGCTCTATTTCTGGGGCTGAGCTCTGTTACTCAGCCAGCCCTTCAAGGCAGAAGCCTCTGCCTATCTGTTGACAAGGTCAAGAGGGCAGGCCAAGGACCAGTCCATTTGCAGACCTGGGGATGAGCTGCCTTGGGAATGTGCTGGCTGGTGTGAGGCTTTTTGACCAAGCCTCAGAGGCTGGATGTGGGGAAGGTGCCGCAGATGGGATTAGCCCTACAGAGGGCAGAGCCCCGGATGCAGGTAGGAGGCTCAGAGTGACTTCGCCTCTGGGTTTGGTAGTTGTGTAAAGGGGACAGGCAGAACTAGGGGCTGCCAGGGAGATGGTGCTGAGGAATGCCACTACTTACAAGTTGTTTCCCAGAACACTTCTCTTGGAGGCCCCCAGATGCTGCATCAGCTCTGGATCCGAGTGCTCATCGCCCACCATGGTGGGGCCCACCTCCTGCAAGGCAAGCCACAGTGGCTGCTGGCTGGCTGCCAGGTAGTAAATGTGTCCCTCGCCTTCCCTGCCTCCTGGCTCTGAGCAAGCTTCAGGTAAAAGTGGAGGCAGTGATGAGGCTCTGTGGAGGCTGGAAGGGGAGCAGTGGGGCCTCCCTGACCTCTCTAAGCAGAGTTGGACATTGCATGGCTATTGTCGCCCTCCTGCCAGGCATCACCACCTACGTCTGTGTGTGTCATCACCCAGAAAACAGGAAAAATGAAAATGCGTGTCCACCTAAAAACATACAGAGCCAGGTGCTGGTGGCTCATGTCTGTAATCCTAGCTACTTAGGAGGCAGAGATCAGGAGGATCACAGTTGGAAGCCAGCTGGGGCAAATAGTTTGTGAGACCCTATCTTTAAAAAAACTCATCACAAAAAAAAGGGCTGGCAGAGTGGCTCAACGTGTAGACCCTGATTTCAAACCCCAGTACCACAAAAAAAAAAAAAAAAAACCCAAAAAACAACGAAAGCCAGTCAGGGAAACTCCCTGAGATCTATTCCCCCCAAAAAGAACACCTTGTGCACACACATTCATATCATCATTATTCATAACGGCCAAAATGTGGGAACAACCCAAATGTTCATCAGATGAAGAAAACGTGACTTGCTGGCTCAGGCCTGTAATTCCCGCACTCCAGAGGCTGAGGCCAGTCTGGGCTACATGAAACCCTGCTCTAAAAAAAAAAAAAAAAAGGTGGTATAGCCTTATAATGGAATCTTAGTTGGCAATAAAAAGGAATGGCCCGATATGAATGAAACCAGACTCATAAGACCACATGGACCACAGAAAGTAGGTTAGAGCTTCACGTGGGGCTGAGGAAGGTGGGGAACTGAGGATCACTTCCTGTGTGGGTAGGGTTTCTTTGGGAAATTTTCTAAAATTGCTTCTTGTGATAGTTGCCCAACTCTTGACTATATAAGAACGCTCGCATTATTTTAACCTGTAAAGGCTTTGGCATGTTTTTATATACCAATCAAGCTATAATTTTTTTTTTAAAAGAATCACTTGAGGACATTTCCAAGTAGGAATTTTTAAGCCTGAACAGTTCTGCAAGTTGGAAAAGGGCCCAGGAATCCATAGTTTAACAACTGCTCAGGGGAGTGGTTCTGGCGAGACCTCTCCTATCAGACGGTGAACCCACCGCTCTTTCCTTCACCCCAAGGGAGTCAGGTGTCCACTGCTGGATCAGTGGGGAGCAGGAAGCTGGAGAGGGGGCCCGGTCATGTCAGTCAAAAGATAAAAGAGGGGGTTTGGGGGTGGGGGTGAGAAATGGCCCAAACAATGTATGCATGTATGAATAAAAAAGATAAAAGAGGATAACGAGAACCTCTTTTTTTTGGGGGGGGGCCCTGAGATTTGAACTCAGGGCTTCGTGCTTGCAATGCAGGCTCCCTGCCGCTTGAGCCACACCTCCAGTCCCAGAACCTTCTTGATGAGGAAGCCGCCCAGAGAAAGGGCTTTGAGGTCTGACTCCTGGGTGGTGGTCTCCCACGCTACCCCACCGCCCACCTATCTGTCCTTTCTTCCCCACCCGCGGGGAGTTCTTCCTTTTCCTTGACTTCGGACTCCCAGGAAGCGCGGCTGCGCACGACCAGCGACTTGGCACAGGGGTGTGGGCGACTTCGCGTGCGTTTCTTTCCCGCGGGTTACTCCACTCACGCCGCTCAGCGGCTGGGCGGAGGGCACTGGGCGCAGCGGGTGCGGAGCGGCTCTCCGATGCCCCGTGGCGGGGACGCACGCACCTGGCCCTCCCCAGCCGCGCCCGCTTCCCCTGCTCCTTGTAGGGCGGATTGCGGGTCCCGCGCCCCGCGGCGCTGCCCGGGCCCTAAGGAGGCGCGAAGCGGCGGCCGTAGCCTCGTGGGCCAAAGTCCCCGGCGGCGGCTACTCACCATGCGGATCTGGGTGCTGATGAGCAGGTATGGCATGGCGCGCGTCCCGGCCCGATCCCACCTGCCACCCGCCGCCGGAGTCCCGTTACTCCGGCTCGGTCCACGGGCGGTGCCAATGCCTGGGGCCGCCACCGCGCGCGGCCAATCAGGAGCACGCGGCGGTGACGCGCGGCGCTCTCGGTCCCGCCCGCCCCTGCTCGGGGACAGCGGACTTGGACCCAGGTCCAGCCGCCAGGAGCGGGGCGTGCGGGCTGCGGCGCTCGCGGGGACAGGAGGCGGGGGCCCCGGCGGTGGCGTCGAGAGCGCGGATTGACCCTGCGCCCTCCTCCTGCAGTACCTCCGGGTTCAGATGCCAAAGTCCAGCAGGTCCCCGCCTGTCCTTGTTGCAGAGCAGAGCGCAGACGGCGCCCCGGTCAGGCTCCAGCTCCCCCACCCCAGGGGACGCCCAACAGTGTCGGCGGACCCCACCTCCCGGGTCCTGTAACTCCCAGGGCAGCAGGTCACTCCCGTGACCCTGCAGGTTCAGTCTGTACAGGAGCTGCGCGCTGGGCTGGGTGCCAGTCCGGTGACTGTAAACGGATGGAATCCAGCCCTTCTTTGGGGAGGCGGGGCGCATGCGCAGATCACACGGCAACACCTGGGGCAACACCTGCCCCCACACCACCTACCAGAGTTCATGGCCAGCGTCCACACCCAGGTATCAAAATCTCACAGCTCAACATTCTTTGTCTGCCGTGTTCTGATTGGTTCTCCAAAAAGCAAAGCAAAACAAAAACCATCCTGTCACCTTCCCTCCCCTGCCTGGAAGCAGCTACGTTTCTGTCAGGGACAGAGGACAGCTCTGCCTCCAGCCCATCCACAGACATGGGGAGAGTCTCAATCCTTCCTTAACGGGTCTGATATTGTTGTGTAATCCCTCTCCCCGCCCTCTGCCCCTTGGACTAATAATTTAGCTAATAGGATAAGCACGTTCTGCTTAAAAAGGGTGTGTTAAAACCCACAAGAGGACCTTCATATTAAAGAACGCCTACAGAGCCGGGTTTTGGTGGTGCAGCCCTGTCATTCCAGCACTCAGGAGGCCTAGGCAGCAGGATTGTGAGTTCAAGGGCAGTCTGGGCTACAGAGGGGGGACCCTGTAATCAAACCAGCAAAACAATAAAACCAAATTGTGGAAGAAATAGAGAAGTTCTATTTACATAAAGTCCATAAATGTGTTAAACTAAACAATATATTGTTTGGGGATAAAAACTGTCAGTCAATGCAAATTTAGAAAGTGTAACCATAAAAGAACTTTATTTGGAGGTCTTAGGAATTGCAATTTGGGAGACAGGTTCAGATGGCTCTGAATTGCTGTTCTGAAGGAGGTAGGGACAGTGGAGCTTATACTGGCAAAAGCTCTTAAGCCATTACATGTAATTGTATTAGTTAGCTTTGCATTACTGTAACAAAATACCTGAGACAGTTGTAAAGAGAAAAGGTTCAGTACTCAGGAGCCTGGAGCAGGACGATCAGGAGGCGGAAGTGTCCTGTTTTCAGTGCTGCTTCTATTGGGATGTTCCTTTTATCTTCACAAAATGTATGTGGTCAAGTTAACAGGAAAGTAGGGAATGATAAATAAAATATTCAGGGGAGCAGTTTACTTCTGAGAAGGAAAGGATGGAGGGGGATAGCAGGGGCATGTGATGTTCTCTTTCTTATACCAGGAGGTGGGTGCAAGGGTTTCTGAAGGTATTCTTAATCTTCAAACATGTGTTATTAATGTTCTTCTGTGGCCACTTAAAATTGAATAAAAAACATTTTTTTCTTTTGCTTTAAGTTATTTTTCAGGTCTCCCACTTTTTTCCCAGGCTGGCTTGGAAGCATGGCGCTCCAACCTATACCTCCCTTGTTCCTCCCTTGTCCGTTGTACAAGTGCCTGCCACAATGCCCAGTTTGTTTGCTGGGCTGCCCTCAAACTTTGATTCTCCCAATCCCTGTCCCCTGAGTAGCTAGAATTATAGGCATGAGTCATTAAGCCCAGCTTAAAAATAAGAATTTAACAAACGAAAATGTTCAGGACCTTAAGAGATAAGCTAGCAGGGGTAAGGCGACTATCACCTCCCTAGGCAGAGCCAGGTAGAGGAGGCAGATGTTCCTGGCAGAGGGCAGGACAGGAGTTTGGGGTCTGCTCTGCTCACCTCTCTCCCCTGGGCTGTGGAGGGAGTGGGAAGGGGACAGAGGGCCATGCATGGCTCAGGCTGTCGGGACTTTATTTTGATGGCAAAGGTGGTCTGAAGATGCAGCCTAAGATAGAGTCCTCCATCCAAACAAAGTAGTGCACTGCACTGCAGCCTCATGCCTGATAGCATCTTTAATATTCAGGGGAAATGAATTCTCCCGCCTCTCACCAAGACCCGTTATCTAGCAGAGCTGCCTCCCGCCCAGTAAAGAGGAGAGAAATCGTCCTTCTGCAAGTGACCTTTTCCTCCATCCCTTCCTTCTCCTTCCTTCTTCTGTTCAGCTTTTATGGATGGCTCTGCATCCATAGGCTCAGGAGACAGGGACAGGAGTCAGTTGTATGAGCCCTGCCCTGGGAGGGCAAGCAGTCTGGTGGGTACACAGACCAGAAAGCAAATAATCCCAGTGTTCTGGAGTAAGGGAGCCCAGGGAGCAAAGAAACAGAGATTCCCTCTCCAAGGTTTGTGTGTGTGTGTGTGTGGTGGGGAGTGGAGCTGGGAAGGCTTCCCAGAGGAAATGAGTTTGTTTCCTTGAAAATAAAGTTAATTTTTTTCTTATACAGAAGTGGTACCTGTTTAACCCAGAACAATGGAAAAATACTGGAAAGATATTATAAAAACACTTTTTCAACATTCATACTTAATCCTTTCATGTATTTCAAAAGGAACTGAGTTTATTCTTTTTTTCTTATCTTTTTGGTGGTACTAGAGTTTGACTTGCTGGGCAGGTGCTCCACTGCTTCAGCCATGCATCTGAGTTTAATCTTTAAGAACCCATAGAAGGGCTGGAAGTGTGGCTGAAGCAGTAGAGTGCCTGCTTTTCAAGTGTGAAGCCAAGCTAAAACCCCAGTTCCAACAAAATTAAAAAAAAAAAAGAAAGAAAGAAAGAAAAGGAGGAAAAGAGGGAGAGAGAACCAGAGAGGTGTGGCATGCTTGCCTAGCTTGGACAAGGCCCTGGGTTCGATTCCCAGCACTGCAGACAAACAAAAAATGAGAACAGGTATTGATGAAGCTCTGTTCCCTAAACTATAGGTGATCTCAGTGCTTTCATTCTTTTTTTTTGTGATGGTACAGGGCCTCCTGGGCACGCCACTGCTTGAGCTATGCCCCCAGCCCTCATTCTTTACAATGTAAATATACATCAAACTTATTCTTATAATGTATAAAACACCTCACAATTTAAAGATAAGTATCTAAGTCTAGTCAAGCATTTTGAGAAGACTGGCTGAAATATTTCCACTGTTGCTACAGCAGAAAAATGGTTTGAATGTATATAAATTAGGAATTCTTAGAAACTGGCCCATATAGCCTGGCACTGGTGACTCATGCCTGTAAACCTAGCTTCTTAGGAGGCTGAGATTGGGAGGATCACTGTTCCAGGAGAGAGGCGGCAATTAGCAAGACCCCATCTCAACAGAAAAAAGCTGGGTGTGGTGGCTTGTGCCTGTTATCCCAGCAACAGCAAGCAGCATGAAACTGGAAGGTTATGGTACTGGCTGGCCTGTGCCAAGTGAGACGCTAACTCCAGATAACCAGAGTCAAAGGGGCTGGAGGCATGGCTTAAGCAGTAGAGGCCTGCCTAGTAAACTGAAGCCCACAGGCCCAGAGACTCTAATCCCAGCCCTGGGGAGGCTGAGGCAGGAGGATCTCAAGTTCAAGGCTAGCCTGGACTACACAGTGAGACCCTGTCTGAAAACAAAAGACCGGACACATAGTCATTGTATATATTTATCACAATGTGATGAGAAATTATAATTTCTTCTTGTTTTAGACTGGGTCTGGCTATGTAGCCCAGAAATTGAGATCCTCCTGCCTCAGTCTCCCCAGTGCTGGGATTACTGACACATGCCAGCACATGTGACAATTTCAACTCTTAAGAAATACATACAATAAAAAGGAAATCATGTCTACAAAGTCAGTGTAGTTTCTAAAATTACAAGAAGTTTCATAAAATCACAAGTGTAAAAGGAAATTACAAAAGAATTTAAGAGTCAATGGTTAGCCCAGAAAAACTGATCAACACGGGTAAAAACAATAAACCCAAAATGGAGTCAGGCATGGTAGTAAGCACCTGTAATCCCATCACTCCATTAAGATGAGGCTGGAAGATAGCGGTGCCTGGTTTAAGACCCTATCTTAAAAACCCAAACCAGCTGCGCACTGGTGGTGCACACCTATAATCCTAGCTACTTAGGAGGCAGAGATCAGGAGGATCATGGTTCGAAGCCAGACCGGGCAAACAGTTAATGAGAACCTATCTCGAAAAAACTCAAACACAAAACAGGCCTGGCAGAGTGGCTGCCTAGCAAGTGTTAGGCTCTGAGTTCAAACCCCAGTATTGTAAAAAAAACCCAAAAACCAAACCAAACAAAAACCCAACGAAACTCCGTGAAATGATATCTGAGCCAATTTAAGCTATCTCAAGTTTCAGCCTCACCCAAATGTTTAAAAATCTTACTTATCATCAGATAAATGAATTTCACAGATTCACTATGGAAACAGCTTAACACCCTACAGCGGGGATGGAACCCCGGGCCGCCGCTGAGCCGCGCTCCCAACCTGGCAGATAACCCACAATTTCCCTGTTCTGATTTCACCTGGTTTAGGACTTAGTACAAGGTTTGAGTAGAAAAATCCCTAAACTATGTAAAGAAGCGAAGGAAGGAAGCGTGGCGCGGCCAGAGCACCTGGACCCGACAGCAGGTAGCTGGTGTGACCAGGCCGTGCTATTGGTGCTCAAGCTGCGGGCTCCGCCCCTCGAGCGCCCTGGGCTCCGCCCTCGGGAGCCGGAGCGAGAGGCAAGATCCGTGAGGTCATCTCTGCGCGCCTTCTGGCGGTGCGCCCACTTGGAGGCGCCGTGTGATGACGTCACGGTCACTGACAGCGTGAGGCCGCGGCGCGGGCTGCTACTATGGTGGCTGGCGGCGGGGTAAAGGTCTGAGTTGATCTCCTGCTGAGCCCAGAGCGGCTCCCAGCGGTGCGAGGGGAGGCCCGGAATTTGTAGCCAGGGTGGCGAGCGTGGCGTCTGCACTGCGGCGAGGCCGAGGTGTGGCTGAAGGCTCGGAAGCGGGGCTGTGTGATCCGGGTCCTGGGCTGCGTTGGAGGGGTGCCCGGCTTCCCGCGGGGTGGGAGGAACGGTAGCAGGGCCAGGGGGCCGGCGGGACCTCAGGTCCGCATTGGGGTGAGGGTAGTCGGGAGGTCAGGTTGGGCAAAGGCATCTCTCCTGGTCCGAATCTCCCGCCCTCTTCGTCTGCCCCGCGGCTCGGCCGGGCTGCAGGTGCGGCATGTCTAGACTGGGGGCTCTGGGCGGCTCCCGCGCCGGGCTGGGACTGTTGCTGGGCACCGCCGCCGGCCTTGGAGTCCTGTGCGTCCTTTACAGCCAGCGATGGAGACGGACTCAGCGCCGTGGCCGGAACCAGAGCCTGCCCAACTCCCTGGACTACGCGGAGACATCAGAGCCCGCGCGCCAGGGTGAGTTTGAGGCCGAGGTCATTGCTATAGATGGACCTGGGGTCCACGTGGCCCTTGGCAGAGCCTGTGGGACAGGGCGGCGGAGGGGGTGCCTGAGGGTTTCTTTTTCGGAAAGACACTGAAAAGGAAAGCTGTCTTCGTTTTCTATGTACTTTCCCCTAGCACCCCAGGAAAGCATCCTGCGAAAAGACTGCAGCTTTCACTTATAGTCCTGGCCACAGTGACACTGTGTGTGCATTAAAGGCACTTGCTTCGTGTGGGGCGAGGAGTGTGTTAAGTAGAGGAACAGTCCAAAAGAAGGCAAAGGAATACGTAATCTTGCAGGAATTAAAACTCTTGACGTTTATGTTTTAAGTTACACATTAGAATTTGAAGGGAATTTGGGGGACTAATCCTTTTTTTTTTTTGTTGTTTTTTTAATCTTTTTTATGAGGAAAGAGAGATTCAGAAAGATTGTGTAACTTTTTCAAGGTTGTCACAGTAAGTGGCAAGGTTGGGCCTGCTCACCCGGCCCAGTGTACTTTCTGTAGTATGAGCTGGGCGCACACTCGTGCAACTGAAGCTGAATGTGGCTGGAAGCCAGCCTCAGCTGAAGTGGGTTGTGCGCTCAGCGTGGTAAGCCTTCAGTTTAACTCGTCTGAGCAAAGTATGGAGGGCTGGCTCAAACGTTCCCCTGCTGAGGATCAACAGTGTAATGAGGACCATTTTAGTCATCTCACACAATGTGAATTGGAAATGAGTGTTTTCTCTAACTACGATGGTTTGGGAAAGTTAGTTTTGGAAGAGTTTCCCAAGAGTTATCACCTTAGATTGCAACCCTCAGCTTTCCATGGTGTGGCATGGCCAGTGTGCTGTCTTACCTTTCCTTGTGCTTTGTCATTTGTTTGTAACTTCCTAGCAGTAATCTGTCTTCTGAGTTTGGAGAAGTGGCCACGTTGCTATGTGTCTTTCTTGCTCTACATTCTTTCTTTTCTGTATTTTGTATTAGCATATAATTATAAAAAAAGGTTTCACTGTTACATTTCCATACACACATATAATGTTCTTTGATCAGATTCACCCCTCTGTTACTCTTATCTGCCTCCCCCTCATTGAACAGTTTTTAACGGGTTTCACTATTCTGTTTTCATAAATAAATATATATGTATAAAGTGCTTGATTCATATTACCCCCTCCTGCCAGTCCCACCCCCAAACAGTCCTGGTGTGTGCTGCATTGTTGAACACTGTTTGGTATGTATTGTAGTCTGGCCTAGGTTATTACTAGCGCTCCTTTAATAAGGGATTTGTGCTCGCCTGTCCTGTGGGTCCCGCCTTCCTGAGTTCTTTTCCTCTTTTCATTTTTCAGTCCAGTTGCCCAAAGTGGCTCCCACGCTGCTAGCATTTCACTGTTGGAATTCACCTAGTGCTGAGTTTGGGGGTTGGGCAGGCAGGCTTAGCAGTGGTGTTTTTCTCCTGGGGTTTGGCTGGGTTTTCTCCATTGTACCCTTTCTTGGCAACTGACTCAGCTTTTTCTCCTTGCCCTCCTTTTTTTTTTTTTTTTCCAGTACTGAGGCTTGAACTCAGGGCCTACACCTTCAACCACTCCGCCAGCCCTATTTTGTGATGGTTTTTTTCAAGATAGGGTCTTGCACACTATTTCCCCAGGATGGCTTCAAACTGTGGTCTTTCTGATCTCTGCCTCTTGAGTAGCTAGGATTAATAGGCGTGAGCCACTGGCGCCTGACACTCTTTTCCCTCTTTGATAATACTAAATGTAGTTCTCAAGAGAAGTAGAGTTTTCTTTCCTGTTCATTGTGAAGTGGGAGATCAGAATCTGAGTGAACTGTTGCTGTGTAGTTGGTATTGACTGCCTGGCGTTTGGTGCTGTAAAGGCAGGTAAAGGTTTTTCATTTACTCTAGTAGGGTGCTGTCCTGCCGTCTGGATACACCCGTGCAAGCATTCACATTATCTTCTGTGTGCAGCATTGCGGAAGGACCCTGGTGTGGCAGGTTCTTGGAGCAGATAGCCCCTGTTTAGATATTGGAATCTCCATTTGTTTCTGGATAGTTACTTGGAATTCACCATGAATTATGCTGTGAATCTATGCTATCTGAGCCTCAAGGTCTTCTCTGTAAATCGAACTCCAATGAGAAGTGTTCTAGAATCCTCTTTATCCAATGGGTATCCCTGTCTCCTGTCCCCTTTCTTCAGTGATGCAGTTTCGGGCTGTCCCAGGTGAGGCTGGAGATGCTGCAGTGCTGCCAAGCCTTCCACAGGAAGGGCAGGAGAAGGTGCTGGACCGCCTGGACTTTGTGCTGACCAGTCTTGTGGCACTGAGGCGGGAGGTGGAGGAACTTAGGATCAGCCTGCAGGGGCTTGCTGGGGAGATCATTGGGGAGGTCCGGTGAGTAAGGCAGCTCCTCCCCCTTGACTTTGCCCCTGTGGCTTTCTCTGCTGCAGTGCTTTTTTTTTTTTTTTTGGTGGTACTGGGGTTTGAATGCATGGCTTCACACTTGCAAAGCAGGCTGTCTATCTCTTGAGTCACGCTTCCAGTCCTGTTGTAGTGTGTTCTGACCTTTGCTGTCTGTATCTAAGAAGGAAGTTTTATACCTTCTAACCTAATTTGGTTCCTTACCTGCACAAGCTGCTTCTGGGCCCTCTTGGTCTGTTCTAGCAGCTGAAAGTTTGTTCTGCCCAAGTGAGTCTGCCATGCAGGCTGGGCCCAGGGAGCTGTCTTGTTCTCCTGAGGGAAGAGACCCAGAATTTTCTCTGCTTTGGCCTCTTCATGGGGGCGGGAGGGGGAGTAGTAGTGAGGGAAGAACAGGATGGATGGGGCCTCCTTTCCAGATCCCACATAGAAGAGAACCAGAGAGTGGCTCGGCGGCGCAGGTTCCCGTTTGCCCGGGAGAGGAGTGACTCCACTGGCTCCAGCTCTGTCTACTTCACTGCCTCCTCTGGAGCTGTGCTCACCGATGCTGAGAGCGAAGGGGGGTGAGTCTCTCCTGGAGGCAGTTGTGCCTGTAGCCAGGCTGGGGTTGGTTAGAGTATTATTTTTCAATGGAAAATTTAAACCCAGCTGCTGTAAATAATTTTTGAAGCAAGGTGAAACTCAGAACAGTTAAAACAAAAACCCCATCCAGTTTATGTCATTCAGACAAAAGGAAATGTTAACAGTGGTTATTGCATGCATCTGTTATTTTCCTAAGTCGACTTTTTTTTTTTGGAATGGGAGTGGGATTTGAATTTGGCTTCCCATTTGCAAAGCAGGTGCTCTACACTTGAGCCATACCTCCAGTCCATTTTGCTTTGGTTAGTTTAGAGATGGGGTCCCACAAATTATTTGCCCAGGCTGGTCTTAATCATGATCATCCTGATCTTAGCCTCCCAAGTAGCTAGGATTACAGATGTGAGTCACCAGTGCCCAGCCTGATCTTTTTTTTTTTTTTCGTATGTGGTACTGGGGTTTGAACTCAGGGCCTCACACTTGCTAGGCCACTTGGCCGCTTTACCACTTGGGTCACTCTGCCAGCCACTTCTTGTGTTGGGTATTTTTGAGATTGGGTATGGAGGACTATTTGCCTGGGCTGTCTTTGAACCAGACCCTGCTGATCTCTGCCTCCCTGGTAGCTAGAATTACAGGTATGAGCCATCAGCATCTGGCCTGTTTTGTTTTTTGAGAGAGGATCTTGCTGTGGAGCCCAGGCTGGTCTTGAACTCACTATATAACCCAGTCTTGGCTTTGAACTTGTGATCCTACTGCCTCAGCTTCCCTAATGCTGGGATTGTAGGCATGTGCCACTACACCCAGGTTTTGATTTATTTTTTTGCATCATGACTTTTTAAAATTAGTTTGGGCATTTTCCTGTGTTATCGACAGATTTGGAAAGCATTGTTTCATGACTTTGTTCCTTTTGTTGAGTGCCTGTGCAGAGATCTCTGCTGGAATGTGCTCACTCCCTGGGCATTACCTTCATCTCACTGGGGAGCTTTGTCCACATTCCCTTGAATCTTTACAGTGTAGAGGTGATTGTCCTAAGTTCTCAGTGACCAAGAAGGTTTTACCAAGGACTTACTGTGAGGCTGGACAGGAGGCAGGAATCTGAGGATACCTTTCTCCAAGCTTGGTCAAGCTAAGGGATTTCAAATTTCAAATCATTTTAAAACTTTGGTTCCAAGGACAGTCTGATGCTGTTGGTGGTAGCATCTGCCTGTCTGCTGCTAATCCCAGTCACCAAGGTAACCTGCATGAGGTTTAGAGACTGATCGCTCCTTGTGTCCTCTGCCGACCTTTCTTCTTCCTCAGGAATAGACTACTACAGAGAACACCAAACTTATACCAGTCTTAAGTGGCTAAATTAACTATGATTGTGCATATGGAAATAAGAAGCTAAAATTAGCCCTTTAGCATGATCTCTACAGATTCTCTTTAGCTGAAGTACTGCCTTCTACTGAGCTGCACTCACAGCCAAAACAAGTGAAGTCTTCATACAGAGCTCTAGCCTGCATTTGTTACTGATGTTACCTGGGCTGTCTGATCCTGTTACCTGTATTTGCAAGGCAGAAGTGGGCCTTTTCAGTTCAGTTTCCTTAGCTCATCTTACAACAGTAAAATTACTATATGACATATCTGGATGGCAAAGAGAGAGAGGACGAAATAGTTGACACTGGGCACTGAGACCTAATGAGCGTCTCTCTGTCACCCAAGGAAGCAGGTCATTTGGATGGGAAATTGATGTTTGAACTTTGTATTTTTTTTAACTTATTTTTTGTGGTGCTGGAGCTTGAACTCAGGGCCTACACCTTGAGCCACTCCACCAGCCCTTTTTTTTGTTTTTGTATTGGGTATTTTTGAGAATTATTTGCACAAGCTGGCTTTGAACCTTGATCCTTTTGATCTCTGTCACCTGAGTGAGGCCCTAAGTTCAAACCCCAGTACTTCTCCCTGCCGCAAACAAAAACCCAAACCCTGGGGTCAGTGAGAACCAGAGTGGGAGCTTCACTACTTGACGTGCTCACCGGATCTCCCAAGGCCACTAGGAGCAGAGCGGGGCTACCAGCCACCTGTGATGGGACAAAGGGATGGGTTGCTTTCTTAATTATAGCTCCAGCAGGCTCAGCCCCATGAACCATCCTGTGGCACATGAAAGCCAGTAAGTGGTGCAAGACTTTGCCTCAGCTGGCTGCTATCTGGGGCAGTGGCCATGGTGAATAATTCTTTTTGTCATGTCAGGTGCTATATAGGTGAAGGGGAAATTCTGGGAAGAGGCCACAAACTCCAAAATGGCTGTGAGCATGTGGGCCTTGGGCCAATAGCTTGAGTTTCTTTGAGGGGTGAAGGACTGAGCTCTGATGGGTACTCTATTCCACTGAAAGCTATATTCCCTATTTCTTCCAAATCAATAAAATAACTTTGATTCGCATGGGAGAGGCAGAATCATTATGCAGATTTGTGAGCTTATTCCTGGGCATTGTACCAAACAATGGGTGCTCCAGGGCAGAACCCAATTTGTCTTAGAACACAAGCTCCTCCAGTCAGCCTTCCCAGGTGCCCCAGCCACTGGGATTCCACAGCCTCTTCAGCTTCATTCCTGAGCACCTATCTCACTCAGCTTGGGTCCTATGTCTCCTGCCACTGAAAGCCTCTCAGGGTCAGGGTCCAAGCTTGGGCATCTCTGAATGCCCGTGGCTCAGCCCCTCTGCCAGGAGGAGTAAATGTGGGTAATGGAGTTCTTGGCTTCTGAAATGTGGGTTGTCCTTAAGGAACACTGCCCACTGTGGGAACAATGTGTTCCTCTTGAGTGCTAGATGTCCAAAAGCCCTTTTCAAAGGTCCCTACTTGATCTCAGAAGCCCTAGGCCATGTCAGAAGAGCCCCTCCTCTCTGGTGGATTTGCAACAAGGGCTGGGTTAGCAGTGTGGGAGGTGAAAGGTGAGAGACTGGCCTAATCTCAGGCACGTGATAAGTTGCAGGTTAGCCTGGCTGATGCCAGGCTGTGGGGCTTCAGCATGTGAGGTAGAACATCTTGAAGTGGGTTTGCTCCTCCCTGTGCCAGCCTTATTGGAACCTCCCTGCCTCACAGGACTCTATCAGCTCTCACCCTCCCAACAAGGTCCTTCCTGACCTCTGCTTCTCCTTGGCTTGTGTGAATTCCAGCCTTTAGGCCCCAGGGGGAAGGCAGCACTGCATCCTGATTCAGCCTTATGGGGTGAGAGCAGCACTCCCTCCCTCAGTGCTGGAGACATAGAGCCTCCCATCTTCAACTCTCTCAACATCTTGGGAATATGGTCTCCCTATTTCCAGCAAAGGGAGCCGATGGCACTGAAGCTCCTCACGCCAGATAAACCACTTACCCTTTTGCCTTTGGGCCTGACTGGGCAGAGAGGCTGTGGTTTGACTTTTTTCATTTGGGGGCAGTTATCATCCAAGTCTTAGAGCTCAGTTGGAACTTTCTCTAGGTTGCCCCTGGGTGGTCTCACTCATCACTACCAAGGTTGGTTGTAAAATCTGATGCCACTTTTCCTTGTCTTTTTTTTGGGGGGGGGCGGTGGCAGTACTGGGGTTTGAATCCTTGTCCCTTTAACTTCTGAAGTTTTACTGCAAAATATTAGAAAGATGCTTGTGTATTCTCTCTTTTTTTATCTTTTTGCAGTACTGGGGCTTGAACTCAGGGCCTTCACTTTGAGCTACTACGTCAGCCCTTTTTGTATTGGGTGTTTTTAAGATAGGGTCTTACAGACTATTTGCCTGGGCTGGCTTTGAACTGAGATCCTCCTGATCTCTACTTCCTGAACAGCTAGGATTATAGGTGTGAGCCACCAGTGCCCGGCCTCAATAATCTCTTTAAGAGGAGAATTTAGGACGATTTTAAATACCATCACAAGTTCTTGCAGATATTCCTGGGGCTTTTTTCAGTCAGACTGGAAGAAGCAATCAGCATGCTTAGACCAGGGGTGCCAAGTCTGTTTGCCCACTTGGTACCTTCTGCTCCACCTGCTTGTCTGACTCTAGTGGAACAGCATTTTTGCCTTCAGCACTCAGCCCAATTTTAGACAGTCTTGTGTTGATTTTGCCTCCCTCATCTCTCTCTCCTTCAGTTGTTTTGCACCAGGCCTAAGGAGCTTGCCTTCATAGGAGCCTGCCTTCATCCTTCACTCCAGGAAAGTGGAAGATTTTCCCCCAGATGACCAGAGATCATTCCTGTGCTTTTGGACAGACCCTACTTTTCCCTCACTCAGTCTGGGGGACACTGGTGCCTCTTTCTGGCCCCTGAAACTCCTGCCTTCTTACCTGTCCAGTAAGATTGTCTGACTTAATTGGCAATTAAGGAAAACACCCTAATCAGCTGCTGATGGAGACACAAATCCAAGAGAAACTTGGCTTCCTCTTTGTGGCAGAGTTGGGACTCCCTAGGAACCACCTGGCCTATTGTAGCCCCAGGGACATCTTTTCAGGGTGGTGTTTGCTGGTTTTCCTGCTTCTAGCTGCAAAATAGCCCCTACCACTCTTGCATGTTCCTGAGTTTTCAAGAGCTTCTGTTGTGATTGAGAATTAGTTGTTGCCTTGGTCACAGGTATAAGTTTAATTGAGAAAGAGAATGGATGTGTGTGGCTGCCTATGGCCTCAGATGCTGGCACCACTCATGTTGGTTCTGGCGGGTGCCTATGGCGATAAAGATAATAATCGAATTGTTAGCCTGGTGATCAGTCTAGTGGTTCTTGCCTTTTTTTTTGTTTCAGTGCCAGCCCAGTTATCTTTTTTTTTTTTTGTGGTACTGGGGTTTGAACTCAGGGCCTCACACTTGCTAGGCAGGTGCTCTACCACTTGAGCCACTCTGCCAGCCCCCAGTTCTTATCTTAAACATTTATTTATTTATTTATTTATTTGAGACAGGGTCTCACTAATGTAGCCCAGACTGATCTTGCACAATTTTTTTTTTTTTTCCAGTATTGGGTTTTGAACTCAGCCTTATGCTTGTTAGGCAAGTGCTCTACCATGTGAACCATGACACCAGAAGGTCTTGAACTCCTCCTGCCTCCCCCAGTAACAGGCATGCACCACCATGCCTGGCTAAATATTTATTTATAAAAAGAATACATGCTTATTGAAGCAATTGTGTAATATTAAGATAGAAGAAAACTACCTTGTATTCCCCTACCCTGAAAGGTCTACTGGCAACATTTTTTTTTTTGTGGTACTGGGACTTGAACTCAGGGCTTACACCTTGAACCACTCCACCAGCCCTTTTTTGTAATGGATTTTTCGAGATAGGGTCTTGTGAACTATTTTTCTGGGCTGGCTTCAAATCATGATCCTGTTGATCTCTGCCTCCTGAGTAGCTAGGATTACAGGCATGAGCCACCAGTGTCTGTCTTAACTGGCAACATTCTGAATATATCTTTCTAGGCTTTTTTTTTTTTTTTTGAACTGGAATTTGAAATCAGGGCCTAACGCTTGGTAGGTAGGCTTCTACCACTTGAACTACTCCACTAGTCCTCTTTTCCAGTCTTTTTAAATTTTCTGGCAAGTTTTGCTAGTAGCTAAGAACAGGGTTCTCATATTAAACCTGATCAACACAAAGCTCCCAGCTGGTTGAATATTTTTTCCTCCCAGCTCATAGTTTCCATAGTAAGCTTGCTTGTGCTTGCTCACGCTTTCTCTCTTTGATGGGACTGGGTTTTGTTTGAATTCAGGACTTTACTCTTGCAAAGCAGGTGCTCTACCACTTGAGCTACATCTCCAGTCCATTTGCTCCGGTTATTTTGGAGATGGGGTCTTGCGAACCATTTGCTTGGGCTGGCCTTAAACTGCAGTCCTCCCAATCTCAGCCTCCTAAGTGGCTAGGATTACAGCTAGTGTCTGGCTGGAAGTTTTCTTTTGAAGACCAATTTCTGCTCTTAAGTGATGAGAATGATTCTTAGCGCACTGGACAACAGTGCCAGAGCCCCTCCTTGTGGGTGGAGGACAGACCTGAGAGGCTTTGAGCTGAATAATTCCCTTCATTAACTCATTCACTTACAATTCTCTGCCAGTTATACAACAGCCAATGCTGAGTCTGACTACGAGCGGGACTCTGACAAGGACAGTGAGGACGGGGAAGACGAAGTGAGCTGTGAGACTGTAAAGATGGGGAGAAAAGATTCTCTGGACCTGGAGATGGAGGCAGTGTCAGGTGCCCTGGAGGCTAATGGTTCCTCACGCCCTGAGGATGTGCTGCCCCTCCTGCAGCAGGCTGACGAGCTGCACCACGGCAGTAAGCAGGACAGGCAGGAGGGCTTTCAGCTGCTGCTCAACAACAAGCTGGCGGTGAGGCTCAGGCTGTGGCTGCCTTCCCTGCTCTCCCTTCCCTCCCTCCATTCTTCCCTCCTTGGCTCTTTCCTGACCCCTAAGGAATGAAGTAGCTAGTGACCCTACAAAGCAGCATGAAAAGGGAAATGTGGGTGAAATGGCTGGTGCTGTGTCCATCCTCCAGGTTGCATATCCTCTCCCAGGAGGCCCAGTGTGGACCCTGAGGCCAGTGCACTGCCTGCCCCAGAGATCCCCACTCCCAACCCCCAGGGAAGAGGAACATAGTCTATTGACTCCTGTAAAGAACCGCAGAAAGTGCTCTCCATAAGGAAAATGTGGAAAGGATGGGAATCTCTTCCTGCACCCCATCTCTTCTATTTTCCTTGAGGCAGAGCCTACCCTACTTGAAGTATCTGTCACAAGTGACAACTGTATAGGTCACTCAACCAGAGTTTCCTTCTACTCAGGCTGATGAAATTTATGCCCAGTCAGGTATAAATTCTGTCCCAAAGTTAGAATTCTCCCTTTTTTGTGGGCAACTTCACATTTTTTCATATGTCTCTGAAAGACATCTCATTATGCCTCCTTATATCTTCTTGGCGTTGACCTTTCCTCCTGGCAGCATCAGGAGACCAGAATGTTCTTCCCCTGCAATTGTGCAAGCTATCACTACAGATAAGTCATCAGTTAACTGCACATGGCACAGGGGTTAGCCCCTATCAGTGATTTGTAGCACTATCTTGGAAACTCAAACTCATGGAGCAGGGGAAGGCCAGGGCCCCATTCTCCATGGCTGACAGGACTCATTCCTTTCTGTTTGGTCTACAGTATGGAAGCAGACAAGACTTTCTCTGGCGTCTGGCCCGGGCCTACAGTGACATGTGTGAGCTCACTGAGGAGGTGAGCGACAAGAAGTCATATGCCCTAAGTGGTAAGTGTAGCAGGTTCCTGGTAGGATGGTGGTCAACTGTGCAGGTGCAGTTGGCCCACGTGCTGGGGCTCTTGGGAATCACTAAAATGCTAGCCCAGGGGCACCTGCCTAGCAGGCATTAAGTGCTGGTTCAATCTCTAGAACCGCAAAAAATAATACAGCAAAGCACAGCACAGTCTACATACCTGCACATCCTGACGCTAGGGTAACACAGGTGCACGTTTTTAGTAGTTGTATCACAGAAGCATTATTCTTTGTTCTCACTCCCCTCCTTTCTTAACCAGAGGAGGTTCTGCCTGCCACTTAGGTATCTGGTTTCAGTCATGGAGCCTGTGGGCAGGTGTTCTGAGAATATAACGAGTGAAGTATATATGGAGGGCACCAAGGAGAAGCAGTTTGGGAGATTATTAGAAGTCCCAAGGATCCACTTAGCAAGTCTGTTGCCTAAGTATCCTGGAGGGGAGAGGGGAGGGTGCTTGTGACCTGTGCCAGGCTTGGGCTCGGCCATGTTAGTCATGAATTAAGAGAAAATTGGACTTGAAAAAAAAAAAAAAGACCTAGATCTCAAAGAAGAGGTGAAACTGCTGCCCAGTCACCCCCAGCCTGACTCTGCAGCTCCTGTTGCCAGGGAGAGGGCCATGATTCAAAGGAACCAAAGCAGTTGAGGAAGGTACTTATTGGTGGTCTGAGCTTTGAAACTACAGGTGGCTCACACCTGTAATCCTAGTGACTCAGGAGGCAGAGATCAGGAAGGTCACAGTACAAAGCCAGCCTGGGCAAATAGTTTGAGAGACCCTATCTCGAAAAACACCCATCACAAAAATGGGCTGGTGGAGTGGATTGAGGTGTAGGCCCTGAATTCAAGCCCTAGTACCGCAAATAAATAAATAGAATAAAAATAAAAAATAAACTTCAGGTGATAGTTTGAGAACATTTTGAGAAATGGAGCACACTTGCAGAGACCCCCAAACAAAACATTGCAGGGGCTTTTGTTTTGTGCTGGACCATATGAGCTTGTTGATGGATATATAGCAGAACCAAAGAGAGCTGTTTCTGTGGAGGATTCTGTAAAGCCTGGTGCCATCTAACAATGAAGAAAATTTTTATTGGTAGCATTAAAGAGGTTACCTAAGAATGTAACTTGAGATTACTTTGAAAAGTATGGCAAGATTGAAGCCTTAGAAGTTACAGAAAACAGGCAGAGTGAAAAGAGAGGATTTGCTTTTGTAACTTTTGATGCTCATGATAGTTTCTAAAATTCTTGTTCAGAAATACCACACCTGAAACAGCAGAGGTAGTTATGGAGGCAATGTAGCAACTATGCTGGTGATCCTGGTTGAAGTAGAGGAGCTATGGTGGTGCTGGAAGGACCTGGAATTCAGGGTGGTGAATACATTATGATGGAGGAGCACATGATTGTTATGATGAAGGAAGAAATTTTGGCAGTGGTTTATGGTGGTGATAGGAATTAGGATTTTGGAAATTAATAGTGGACAACAGGAAGAAAATTATGAACTGATGAAAGAGGAGCAGTTTTGATGTTTGAAGCTCTGGCCATCCCTATGTTAGTAGTGATGGATCTGGTGGTGGATATATGACAGCAGTTTTTAAAAACAGAAAAGGGCTGTAATTCTTAGGAGAATAAGAAGTTGTCAGGAAAGCTGCAAATTATTTTGAGACATTCATCTCAAGGGCCTTAGAGGAACTATAAAAATCTGCCACAGAAGGAATGATGATCTGTAGTCAGAAAACTTACTGCACACTGTGGATATGGTTGTACACACTTGTAATCCCAGCACTTGGAAGGCTGAGGCAGGAGGCTTGTGAGTTCTAGGCCAGGCTGAGCTACATAGAGTTCTAGGCCAACCCTAGCTATCAAAACAACAAACACAGTCTAGTCAATTAGATGTGCATTCCTGAGATTTATTATGTGTTGTAGCTTTGTCTTTTTCTTTTTATCACATCAGGTATATTGCCCTGTAAATTGTGGTAGTGGTGCCAGGAATGAAAAATGAAGGGATTTTTAACTGAGAAAGGGATAGAGGCAGAGAGACAGACTGAAGTGTCCTGTTTAGCCACACACACCCTGCACCAGGTACCAACAATGGGCTTCTAGGTCTCTGGTCCAGTTAATTATCTCAAGGTAACTATCTAAACTGGATTCGTCTCCTCTCCTACTTACATAAATATGCTTTTACAGACATTATCGAACCTTCAATGACAAGGTCAACATACTAAGCTTTTGAATTCTGTTGATGAATAAAGACATGCTGAGTCGAAAGTTTACTGATACAGACCCTCAGAAAAGTCCCTGGAACTTTTAAAAGGTGCTCAGTTACTGTTTGCTTTTTTCTCTCAAAAAGTTTCTGCTTTCAGGGCTGGTGGAATGGCTCAAGTAATAGAGTGCCTGTCTGGCACATGTGAGGTCTTGAGTTCAAATCCCAGTACTGCTGGGGGCAGGAGGGAACGTTCTTCTTTCAGCTGTTGGGTGGTACACAGCAGTAATTCTAGCACTCAGGAGGATCAAGAGTTTGAGGCTGCTGGAGGTGTGGCTTAAGTGGTAGACCTAACAAGCACAAGGCCCTGAGTTCACACTCCAATATCGCCAAACAAAAAAGTTCATTTTCCCTCCTAAATTTCAGGTGACAATTCTGATCAGCATCTGGGCTGATTTTTTGCCTGTTGGTATGAACAATAATCTTTCCTCTTCCTTTAATGATTTCTTATTCCCCCTCTTCTCCAACCAATAGGATTTGTCACTATGAAGTCTATTTAAACAGATTCTCGGACTGGTGGTTCATGTCCCATCAGCTCATTCATCTTGAACAGGGGTCTCAACCCAGTAGCTTTTATTTTTAGTGGAACTGGGGTTTGAACTCAGGGCTTCATGTGTGCTCCCAGTAGGTTTTCTAGAGCTACCACCTTTCTCCATGAAGTTCTGTGAGTTTTCCCAATTTAAACATGGACTTTAGTGTTTTTATTTTTCTAATGAAGATACAAAGGGGATGGATTGGCAAGCCTTTTCTCTCTTCCAGTGCTGTGTGAAATCAATTTAACCACTTTGAAGTTATTTGTACATTCAGGATCATGATTTCTACCATCTTTTGGATTTGACAGTCCTGTTGGTGCTATGCATGAGATCTTTGTATCTAATAGGTGCCTTTTTTTTCTTTTAGTAAAATCAACACAGGATAGACAACCAACCAGTAGTACTGACAATGGCATGAACTTCAATTATGGCCAGCCATTATTTTTGGCCACAGGACACATTTTGCACAGGAAAGATCCATGCCATGGAAGATAGGCAGTTTTTTGCTCCAAACATCCTCAGTAATTAGCTGTAATTTTCTAAATGAAACTTCACCATTCTACAGATCAGCAAGGCTCATTTTAAACATGACTCTTGGCCTGAGGCCAGCAGATGCAGCTCTGGTGCTGTGAGTCCTGATGATCATTACCTCTTATATAGAACATAGCAGGTGCTTTCATGTCAGACCAATCTTTCTTAGAAAATGGATCAACCACTTTCTTCTTGGCTCCTTTTTGCCACTTTTTGTAAGGTGCTTGTTTTTGCCAACTTCTGTGGTGCTGGCTCAGCCAAAAGGGGCTGGTCAGTTTTTAGTAGTGTGAGTAATCATCATGAACACTGAAGGCAGAGGTGGGGACAGTGGTTAGAGGAGCATCCACAGCCAGCACTTGTTTGGTCTGGCTTTTCAGTGTAGCCCCCTTGGATAAGTCTGTTCCTGCTGGAGGTTGGATGACTAGAGGATGCCTTTGAAGGTTCCACTCTGGAATTGTAGCCTTTAGGAAACATCCTAACTGGGGTTAAAGGTCATTTTGTTTTGTCTCTAGATTCTGAACCACCAGGAGGCAGGCCTTCTGTGGATCTCAGGCAGTGTCTTGTCTACTCCTTTTGTTTAGCTTGGCAGGAAACTAGTTGCATTATTCACTGTTATTTTCCTAGTGAGATAGAACTTTTTATTTTTTGGTGGTACTGGGGTTTCAATTCAGGGCCTCACTCTTGATAGGCAGGCATTCTATCACTTGAGCCACTCACCAGCCCTTTTATGTGTTGGGTATTTTTTCTTTTTTTCTTGGCAGTACTGAGGGCAGAACTCAGGGCCTCTTCCTTGATAGGCAGGCGCTCTATTAGCCCTTTTTTGTATTGGGTATCTTCGATAGGGTCTTGTGAACTATTTGCCTGGGCTGGCTTTGAACCTTGATCCTCCTGTTCTTTGCCACCGGAGTAGCTAGGATTACATGTGTGAGTCCCTGGTACCAGGCTGAGATAGCACTTTGAAGGGTGCAGAGAAAAATACTCTAAGAGGCAATATCCCTCATTGGTGGGATTGTTCTTCTGTTTGGAAAGGAGGATGTAGAGCACACACCATCAATTCTTTTTTTTTGAGACAGGGTCTCACAGTGTAGCCTGGGGTGACATTGAACTCTATCCTCTTGCCTCAGCTCCCAAGTGCTGAGATTATGGGCTCCCTACTGTCATTTGTCTTAAAAACTGTATTTGTGGGGTGGGGTGTGGCTCAAGTGGTAGAGTGCTTGCCTAGCAAGCTTGAGGTCATAATTTCAGTTCACACTGCCACCCTCCCCCAGTTGTATTTGTTGTGAAAACAATATAATTATCACTCAAATATTAGGAAACATTTCGGATTAGCCAGCCTACAACCTCAACATATTCCATTTGTGTTCCACCTTCTCCATGTTCAATGCCTGTCCATTTTAATCAAGGAGAGCCTATTTCATTGTGTTTTCTTTATTCTCCGATGGGTAGACATGATGGTTCTTGTCTGGAGGTCTCCTTAATACTTTATAGACGAGGGAGAGACAGTGGGGGTGATAGCTAACCAATGTACAAAATAAGCCTAATCGGAATTGTCACTATGAATCCCCTCTGTAAATGAATATATACAAATAAAAAATTTTTAGTTTCAAAAAATACTCTAGAGGACCCTTGTTAGGAGTTTTCATGTGTCCAAACTCCCCTCCCCTCTCTGCCCACTGGTGTTTAAACACAGGGCCTCACATTTGCTAACTTTCAGCAAAACCTTAGTGCATTTGGCTCCTGTCAAAGAGTGTTGGCCTATGCTGGGCATGTAGCTCAGAGGCTGAATGCTTTCCTAGCATGTGTGAGGTCCTGGGTTCAATCCTCCCCACACATGCTCTTTGGCTTAGCAAGTTCAATCCTCAGCACCCCCGCCCTGACACACACACACTTTGGCTTAGCAGGACACCACCGGCTCATGCCTATATCCAAGCTATTAGGGAGGCTGAGATTGGGAGGATCATAGTTCGAGGCCAGTCTAGGCACCCCATCTGCAAAATAATCAGAGTAAAATGGACTAGAGGTGTGGCTCAAGCAGTACAGTGCCTGCTTTGGAGTTCAAACTCTAGTCCCACAAAAAAAAAAAAAAAAAAAAAGTTTTGGTTTAGAGCTGTAATAAACGTTCTTGGATTGTAGATCTTTTTGAGAATTTTACCTTTTATCAAACCTGTGAATCCTCTCTCCAATAAAACACAGCCATATCTAAAATTTTACAGTTTTAGTGATGCATGGATATCATACAATCTGTCTAAGAGTAAGGTTTGTTGGGGATAGTTTCTGATGGATCCTTTTTTATTTGAAATGCTAAAATGTGCTTCAAGCATACTAGGTAGGTATGGTAAAGACAGCTTGAGTCAGGTGTGGTGCTACACATCTGTAATCCCAGCACTTGGGAGCTGGAGGCAGGAGGATCTTGAGTGTGAGAGCAGTTGGGGTTACACAGTGAGATTCTATCTTAAAAGAAAAAAAAAGGTAGCTCAGCTGCTGATGGCAGACAGGTTAAGTGGAAGTCGTCCCCGAGAAGCTGAATGAGGCTTTTTTTCATGAAGTGCTTCTTGAGGAAGTGTGCATGGGAGCCCATGTTAACTCTGGATCTACCTTTGTTTTTCAGGGAAAGAAGAAGCAGAGGCTGCTCTGGAGAAGGGGGATGAGAGTGCTGAAAGTCACCAGTGGTAATAACGCCCTTTAGGGTTCTGGGAAGAGCCAGCAAGGGCCAAAGCACTGAGAGCCCTTGCATCTCTATTCTGGCCAGAGGCATTTGTCCAAGGAACCAGGAGGGGGAGCTCTAGTTTGAATTTCTACAGGTCCCTCCCAGCACTCCTTTCCCCACTAGGGACCAGAGAGTTTCCTTTGGGAGATGCTTTGGGGGTGAGGCAATGGGGGTGAGGGGGGGAATACAAGCCTTTTTCTGTTGGGGTTAAGAGAAGTAAGTACTTTCTAAGTCATCCTAGCTACAAAACTTGTTGATTCTTGGCTCCTTAGGGAGGTTGGGACTACTTGCAGCTCCCCTGTCCTGCACAAGCTCATTTCCCCAGCTGTGCTTACTGGCTGGTGGTGGATCTTGGCTTCTTTGCTTTGTTTGCATGAGAAAAAGTGAATGTGAGTTTACTCCCAGGAAGTTCAGAGGTCAGCTTATTAGCTTATGGAGGGGCGAAATGCTTGCCTAGCACACATAAAACCCTGGTTTCAATCCTCAGTACAAAAAATAGACCCCCTCCCCTACAAAATGCACATTAACCCTTTTTGTGGTCTCTTAGGAGGCCAACTTCTGTCAACTTCCATGCAATAGTGTCTCAATCTTACTGAAAGTATTTCTTTTCCCACTGTTACACTGGCTCTCCAGATCTCTGCCTTTACATTGTTAGCTAAGTGAGTAGGTTTTCTCTATCAGTTGCTGAAACTTTCTCTGGAAGGGCTCTTCTTACAGGCCAGGTATTCTTTCTACACCTTCCAAAGATGAAAACCAGCATACATTCTTAGCGATTCCTGAGGAACAGCTGTCTGTATTAAACATGAAGTGAGCCTCTAGAAGTGTTTTATCTTTAGCAAATGCATGAAAAGCCAGCACGGGTCTGGTTAGACACTCAACTAATGTATACTCTGCTTCTAGAAACAGTGCTTGGGGAGGGAGATAGTAATGTCTACTGAATTTATTATTTTTTTTGGTGGTCTTGAGGATCAAACGGAAGGCCTTGTGCTATGCAGCCTACCACTGAGCCAAACTTCCAGCTCCTTTTAAAAAACTTGTTTTTAGACAGGGTCTTGCTAAATGGCACAAGTGGCCTCAAACTTTCACTCTTCTTGGCCTCAGCCTCCCGAGTAGCTTGGGTTAAATAAAGGCATATCCCAGCTTTTTTCTTGTTATTGTACTGGGGTAGGACTCAAGCTTGCTAGGCAGGCATTCTTACCACTTGAGCTACTCTGCTAGCACAGCTTCTTAGTTCCACCTCTAGTCTTCCTAGGACCTTGTTTATAAAGACAGATTTCAGGAAGGTAACTGATTTGTGCTGCTGGCAGGAAGGACATAGAGGGAAGAGCCAAAACGGGTCTTTTTTCCTCTGCTTTTGTTGGTTCCCAAATGGGATTTGAACTCAGGGCCTCACACTTGCTAGGCAGGCACTCTACCACTTGAGCCACTCTACCAGCTTTTTTTGTGTTGGGTGTTTTCAAGATAGTATCTCTGGAACTATTTGCCCAGGCTGGCTTCAAACCACAATATTCCTGATCTCTGTCTCCCAAGTAGATAGGATGATAAACACTTTTTTTTTTTTTTTGGGTGGGACTGGGGTTTGAACTCAGGGCTTTGTAGTTGGAAAGCAGGTGCTCTACCACTTGAATCTTAATAAAGACTACCTGTATAATTCTAAGGCTAAGGAGACCTTCTTTTAGTGTCTACTTAGAAAATGACAATAGTCAGTCTTTCAAGTTTGTTTTTTTTCAGTGCTGAGGATTGAATCCAGGGCTTCATGCATGCTAGGCAAGCGCACTCCCATTGAACTACAATTACCCTGCTTTTTCAAGTTTTAAGATACCTACGACTATACTCCCATGAGAAAAGGGGAATTTGGAGATTTGGACTAAGACCTCGCCGAAATGATTTTAAGTGTTAAAGGAGAGACTTCCTGTGGAGGGAGGGCAGCTTTTTATACTTAGAATATTTAGGAGACTTGTAAGCCTACCACTGTTGCTAAATACTAACTGGTAGCAGAGGTCTGTGCTGACAGAATACTGTCAGCAGTAGTTGAGGGAGGAGGGGCAGTGCGGGCACCTAGTCCTCATCCCTGAGCTTGCTGCTGCTTCCCCTCTAGGTATGCAGTGCTTTGTGGTCAGCTGGCTGAGCATGAGGGCATCCAGAGACGCATCCAGAGTGGCTTTAGCTTTAAGGTGAGGATAGGCTTCTCCTTCCCTTATGCTGGTCTAGTCTAGATATCCTGCTCCTTCCCAGATCCCTTAGAATGTCTTTTTCACAGCCTCAGTGCCTTGTTGCTCTTACCTGAGCAACTCTGGTCTGATGTGGTTGTATTTCTATTTTCCCCTTAGGAACATGTGGACAAAACCATTGCCCTCCAGCCAGAAAACCCCAGAGCTCACTTTCTTCTTGGCAGGTGGTGCTACCAGGTGAGATATTGCCCAGGGCCTGACATAACAGTCCTATCTACCTGACACTGATTTCTGATGGGTCCTCAGCTCCCATAGTCTGCTCTGGCTCAAGTCTCATTTCCTCTGAATTGTTCATGTTATTGGTAGATGACTCTTTTCCTTGTGTATGTTTTTAAGACGGGATCTTGCTATGTAGTTCAGGCTGGCCTTGAACTCATGATCCTCCTGCCTCAGCCTTCTCAGGGCTGGGATTACAGATTGAACCACCACACCCAGCTACTGTTTTTATAGAATACTCAGTATTCCTGAAGATCCTTCTAAAAACCTTTTATTTACATCTTGATATTTTGGTGGCAGGTCTCTCACTTGAGCTGGCTAGAAAAGAAAACTGCAACAGCCTTGTTTGAAAGCCCTCCTAGTGCGACTGTACAGGATGCCCTGCAGAGTTTCTTAAAGGTATCAGGGAAGGGTGGGCAGCAGCCAGAATGTCAGGGTAACCTGTTTCTCCTGAGACCTTTAATGGGAGGAGTTTGAGGCACGAGGCAGTTTTGTTTACCTGGTATGTGGAAAAATCAGAAATAGCTTGAGAGCTTATAAAAAATACAGTTTTCCAGATCCACTGAATGAGGCTTCTGGTTGGGAAGGGACTGAAATCTATTTAATAAACTCAGCTTCACTTAAATTTATGACCCTATTTACTGAAATGTCTTCAGGCTGAAGAACTACAGCCAGGATTTTCCAAAGCAGGAAGAATATACATTTCCAAGGTAAACTCAACCAGTTTAGCATTAATGAAGAATGTTTATTGGTGCTGGGGAATGGGCTCATGGCCTTTGCCTGTTTTCTGGGAACTGGGAAGCACACGTACTCCCAAAGTTTTCATTGTTGTCTCTTCTCAGTGCTATAGAGAATTAGGGAAAAACTCTGAAGCCAGAAGGTGGATGAAGTTGGCCTTAGAGCTGCCAGATGTCACTAATGAGGTAAAACTTTTTTTTAATTGCATGCTAGGCCAACACTCAACCACTGAGCTTCTTCCCTAAACCTTATTTTTGTTTTCTTTGTCTTCCTAGGATTCAGCTTTCCAGAAGGATCTGGAAGAACTACAAGTAATTCTGGGAGAATGATCACACTTCAATGGCTTTGGTGACTTCCTTAGATCCTATTCAGACCAGAAAACCAAACAAGACTGGTTTAGGAAGTGTCCTGACCCTGTGGGCTGGGTGCTACCCACTTGCTCCCCAGTTAATTTATTCTAATCTCTTAACTAATCTAAACTTGGGGAAGTATTGCAGCTTGGGTTTTATATTGTAAGTGAATTCTTGAAAAATCAAGACTTAATGTAGCATTTACCCTAGGGTTAAGTGTGGGTGCTGTCCAGAAGGCTGCTAGAGCTAAGTCTGCTGGTGCAATAGATGAAGGTCAGAGTGAGACAGGAACAAGTACAGAACTTGTCACTAATCTTTTTCACCGATTAATGTTCAACATCTACAGCCCTAAAAATCACAGCTTCCCCATCATGTATATTCTACCTGTATTCCTGGGTGGAGGGGCTAGACCACTTGACTTCCAGAGTTCTGGCAGTTTGGAATGACAGCAAAGGGTTTATGATAATGGGAAATGATCTGAAGAGGTGCCTGGAATATATTTTGGTACACACTTGAAATAAACCAAAGTTGATTACAAGTGATCATATCCTTCCTTTCAGTTATTATTTATTCTTGTCTGGCAGCTTCATGATTATTTCCTCCTAGTGAGGAAATTGTAGACAAGTAGAAAACGCACCAAATACTTGGTTAATAGTTGTATGTAAGATACAGGCACAGAGTTTATTTTTAGCCCAAACAAGGCTTATTACAATTTTTGCCCCTCTCGTTCATTCTTAGGACCAATAGCACAAAGCCTAAAAAGAAGAATAGGACTATAGGATTGAGATGCTTCTGTTTAAGAACCAACCTTTCCCTCCAGCATCTGTCACTGTGGCCTTATTATGCTATCTCAGGTTTATTTTATGGTAGACAAAAGAGAAGACCTAAGATAGACTCAATTCTGAGAATAAAACAACTTTTGCTATCTAAAACCTAGATAAAGTTTCTAGCTAGTCGCTGAGCACCTTGGATATGATCTGGATTAGAAGTCCTAACTAGCCATGATGCCTTACCTCCTGAGAGTAGTTCAGGCTATAGTCATGTGTTACTGTGCTAATCCTTAATTCTTAAAGGACGGAACTACTTTAAAATCAAAGCTGAATTAATTTGACTAGATTCTTCCTGTTGGCCTATGTGTAGTTGCACTTCAGAGATTTTCAGGGCCTCTCCTCCCAGTACTGGCAGAGAGGCTGGCAGGTTAAACCTGTCACAAGCAGAAATACAAAGGGGAGGAAGAGAAGTAGCTCAAACCCTTGACGTACAACTAGACAAAGAACACAGGGAGTGTGGTACGTTGGTCTTGTAGTATTTTCCTTAGGGTGAAGAAGATACACTCAGTCATGAGTGTAGGACTTCCTTTTCAGTTTTCAGAAAAGTCCACAGAAACTGATCAAACTATCCAGCTCTACAGGACATATGGAAACCCCATCTTAGAATATTTAGCTGGCACTAGAATAACTCCTACAAACAGTACATGCACTACAAATACTTTATTAGCAGACTCACAGTCAATCTGCTTATTTAGCCCTTGAAATACTTCAGACTCCAGAATTGTCCTAAGTTAGTCTGAGCAGTAAGAAAAAGACCCAAGTAAGCGATGATGAAGCCCAGCAGGACGCATGTAAGATTCCTTAACCAAAAACAAAATTTTATGAGTTCAGGCATTCAACTTTAAAACCTGCTTGTGATTGACAGATGAGTATTACTGACAAAAGAAAAGAACCTGTGAAGAGACCCATTTCCTTAGCTACAGAGCTCAGGCATTTTATCTTGCCATTATTCAGAAATGAGAGAAGAGTCAGGTCTCCAGCTTTAGTCTTGGAGACATAAGATTGTTTGGTAGATAGCTGATAGACCTGAGTCCACCCAAGGCACTATGTCAAAGGTATTTCATACCTCTCCTCCAAACACCAGCGATAATAGACATTAACACACCGGAAGGAATAAACATTTCAGATCAGTTTGAGTACTGACCTATCTCCTATTTACAGGATCAGAAAAGCTGGTACAATAGCTGTTTTTCCGGAAGCCTTGTCTTGGCAGTCACAACAGGAAGAGACTTGTGAAGAACCCCAGGGAGCATCCTCTCTATTAGGCTGTAGCACTTAAAGTTTATCACAGGAAAACAGCCAATGATTCAGTCTTTGGCATCTCCCACTCCATCCGCATTGATGGCAAACATAGCTTCAGCTTCAGGAAGGCAGGGAGAGTCATAGATTTTGCAGATTCTGGTTTCTCCTCTTCCTTTCCTCAGGTATAGTCTGATTCAAAGACAGATCAAACCATGGAATTATATAATTAAACAGTTCCATTCCTGACTTTATGATAGAGCCAATTTTTAAAGACATATATCTTTCCAGAAGGATTTTAGGGCTCTTTCTAAATGTATTTAGTGTACTTCCAATATGGAGGAATCCATTTCTGCTCTGAATCCCCTTAGTGGAATGCTCATATTGAAGCAAACTATTCTTTTTCCTCTTAGTGGTTTGAACTAAGGGCTTTGCACTTGAAGAGCAGGTGCTCAACCATTTGAACCACATCTTTAGTCCATTTTTCTCTAGTTATTTTGGAGATGGGGGTCTTGAGAACTACTGCTCAGGTTGGCCTCAAATCTCCCAATCTCAGCCTCTCAAGTGGCTAGGATTACAGAAGCCACTGGTACTTGCAAACTTTCTCTTTTTAAATAGGAAAAGAAACTGGGAGAGTGGCTCTAGTTGTAATACACCTGCCTAGCAAGTGTGAAACCCTGAGTTTAAACTCCAGTACCACCAGAAAAAAATAAAAATAATCGGCTCTATTACTGTGTCACACCTGTAGCCTTTGTCTGCTTTAGTTTGTTAATCAGATAGGGTCTTGCTTTTTTTTGCTGGGCTAGCTTCAAACCACAATCCTATCTCCACCTCCTGAGTAGCTGGGATTATAGCAGTGTGCTAACTTAATACCTTTATGAATTAAAAGCAAACCCCTGTACCAACCAGAGCATGACAATTAAATTTAGCAAGAGTCCCAAGTATCTAATTATACAACAGCAGCTTTAATAGGGTTCAGATGGAAATGTGCTTCTGTCTGTCTCATGGTTAACATGATGTTCATTCTGAGAAGAAGCGTGTCTGCCATCACCTTACCTGGTTGTTGATGCATGGGCGATGATGTTTCCTCCAATAGGTTTTTTGGGATCTGCAGCAAACATAGCTGCTCCATCCACTTGGGCTACCACCTGGTTGGTGATTACCACTGCTACACCAAACTGATGGGAAAAGTTGTCAGTTTGTTGGCCACAGTCATTACAAGAACCTTAATCCCTGTTACCACTCCCCCCACAAAACAATGAATAACTGTTTCTTTTTTCTAAACTCCTAACTCAATGATACAGGCATGATGTCCAAGCTTCTCAGCCGGGTTCTTGTAGCCACCGAGAAGGCTTCTTTGTCCTTTCCCTACAGCTTACCTCATCAGCAAGCCGCAGAAGCATCCGCAGAAACCTGGCCAAGTGCATCTGTCTGGCTGACAGCTCTCCTCGACCTGAGTAGTCTGTTCTGTACAGGGCGGTAGCACTGTCTACAATAAGAAGTGCGTATCTATGGGGAACGAGAAATTCTCTGAAACAATTTCTAGCCAGTGTCAGATTCTGCTCCCTTCCTCACCTCCTGAAAATCTGCTATGCATAGTTTCACTTGAAATGGATGTTTTGTTAAAATATTTGTACAGCATTCACATCTGAGGAAGTTTTTTCTTGCTGTTGTTTGGACAGACCTGACCAACAAGGCCTCATGCATGATAGGAAAGTGACCTCCCACCAAGCTGTACCTCCAACCCTGGCTTCATTTCTAGTGACTTGACCTACACCACAAAGCAAGGGTGTCAAAATAGGAGCTAAAACTTAAGTACCTCCATTTCTAAATTAAGTTACTATTAACAAGATTCAAGGGAAGGGTTCTGGGAACATATGTAGTGTGTTCACTTAGCACATACCTAGATTCTACCATCATGGCTGATGCTTGATAAAGAAGCTGGGTCTGGTGGTCTGTGTTGAACCCTCGAGCATATGCTACATTATCCAGGACATCACTGCCAGAGAGGCCGTATCTAGAAAACAGAACATTTTTAGGTCGCACAGAGAAATCATGCAGACTGGAAATAATCTCTAGTACTTACATTACCTGGATGGGCAGGTAAGAAGTGTTGACTGGCTTCAAGGCCCAAGTGTATAATTTGCACTCTATTAGGAAGTTTAGGCAAGCTATATAGAGATGACAGTAGCAACTACTTTGGATAAATCTACCTGCAAAGACTTAAGGAAAAATCAAATTTATTCTTGAGGACTTCTGAACTAGAATGATAATTTCCCATCATAAGGAAACAATATTCTTCCAGAAAAATCAAGGATAACATGACAGAATTTGGAAAATCAAAACTAATCAAAGAATAATATAAATTTTTGCTATATGTGAATAAAACCTATGTAAGGATTCCAAACTGTAAGAAGTTCAAGAAAAGTGAATACATGTATTTCATTTCTTCTAAATGAAGAAAAACTAGTTACAATTTAGAATATGTGACATACATCTCGTTAGATAAAATGAGTGACACTTTAATTCCTCTTAAGGCTCAATGATTTTTTTCTTTTCATTTAAAAGGGCAAATAAGTTGTGTGTGGTGACTCACACGTATAATCCCAGCTACTTGGGAGATGGAGATCAAGAGGATCACAGTTCAAAGAACGCCTGGGGTGAGACCTCATCTCAACCAATAGCTAGGTGGTGCACACTTGTCATCCCAGCTACACATAAATAGCAGGACTGTGGCTCCTATTAGCAAAGTAATGGAAACAACTAGGGAAGTGGCTTAGGTGATAGAGCACCTGCCTAGTAAACCTAAGGCCCTGGTTTCAAACTTGACACACACAAATAAGGAGCCACCTGCACCTGAGCAGAACTGTAAATGTAAATGCAACATTCATAAACAGATTCAGCACCCTCATATCCTGTATTCTACTATCCAGTCTGAATATGGGTTTTTTGAGGGAGGAAGGGGCAGTACTGGGGTTTAGACTCAGGACTTTGTGCTTGCTAGGCAGAAGCTCTATCACTTGAGCTATGCCCCCAGCCCTTTTTCCTTCAGTTATTTTTCTAGTAGGTCTTGTGGTTTTTGGCTAGGCCAGCCTGAATGATAATACTTCTATTTACACCTCACATGTAGCTGGGATGGTAGGTATGCACCACTGTACTTGGCTTGTAGATTGAGATGAGTCTTGCTAACATTTTGGCCTTGTTTGGCCTGGAACTACAATTCTCAGATTTTCATATCCCAAGTACATAGGATTATAGGCATGAAACATTATGCCTACCCTGAGTACTTCTTACTTAAATGTTACTGGACAGGCTTAGTAACTGTCCAAAAGGCAATTCTTCAACTAGTAAATTAGAGTACTTAAAAATCTGAATTGTAGCTGAGCATGGTGGTGCATGCCTATAATCCTAGCACTTGGGAGGATGAGGCAGGAGGATTGAGAGGTCAAGGTCAACCTGGGCTACACAGTGAGAACTTGTCTCAAAAAAGTGATTGTCAAAACAACTTTGGGAAGGAAGATACTGTTCAGTATAAATATATTCAGAAAACTAGGGTCAGGTTGTAAGAATTGACCTTTTTGATGAAAATTGGAATTTGAATTTAGGGCTTTGCCCCTGCAAATTCAAGAAGGGGGTCTTGAGAGCCATTTGCCTTGATCCTCTTGATCTCAATCTCCCAATAAGCTAAGATTACAAGCATGAGCCACTGGCACCTGGCAGGAATTTTTTCTTGACAGAGATTCTATAAATAATTGCAAAGGTATGCAATTATTGATCCAACCCAATTTTATGCCTCAATGGCTTACATTCAATTGACTGGATTCCTCAAAATATACAGTGTGAAAACGAATTTGATTATAATAATCAAATTAGAATATTCTCAATTCACTCAGGTACATTCCAACTGAGTCTGACAGCCTAACGTGCAACTAAACTCTATTTAATCACTAGGTTTCAGTAAAATGTGTGGTGAGGACTAAATGATCATATTTGACCTTAGAGAAGGAAAAATAGCTAAAATAAATTTTAGTTTATTTGAAAGCTGTTTTAGGAGAGGCTGAGGCAGGAGGAACTTGGATTTGAAGCCAAGCTGGGCTACATAGTGAGACTGTGTCTAAATAAATAAAATTAACCTGTTAAATAAGAAAGAAATTGATGAACTTTAGTAAATGCTAAGTACACCTAATTAAAGAACATTTCCATCACCCTCAAAAGATACCAAGTCCATTTGCAGCCATTCCCCATTCCACCTCTCAGTAGCCATAATCTTATGTTGTTACTGTGGTCACCCTCTGATACCTGCCTTCCAAGTACTATGCTTAACTTTTTAAGAAACCGTGAACTATTTTGAAAGTAAATGTACCACTTACATGCTAACCAGCAATGTCTGAGGGTTCCAGTTCCTCTATATTCTTATCAACATTTGTTACTATGTCTTTTGGAGACAGGTCTCACTATGTGGCACACAATCTGCCTGTTCTTGACTCCTAAAATCTGGGATTACAGGCATGTACCACAACGCCGAGCTTGTTACTGTCTTTTTGATTACAGCTCTCTTGGTGGGTATGAACTGATAGCTCACTGTGGTTTTAATTTGCATTTCCTTGATGGCTACTGATGTTGAGACTCTGTCCATGAGCTTATCAGACATTTGTATAACCTCTTTGTAGAAATATTTATTCAAACTCTTTGATCACTTTTTTTTTTATGGAACGCTTCACGAATTTGCGTGTCATCCTTGTGCAGGGGCCATGCTAATCTCTGTATCATTCCAGTTTTAGTATATGTACTGCCGAAGCGAGCACCTCTTTGATCATTTTTAAATTCGGTTGTCTTTTTATTGTTGGGCTGTAAAACTTCTTTATATATTCTAGATACTAGACTCATCAAGATATGATCAGCATTTTTTTTCCTCGTTCTTTAGGTTGTTTTTTCATTTTCTTGATACTGTCCTTCGAAGCACAAAAGTGTTTAATTTTGGTGAAATCTAACTTGTATTTATTTTTCATTCGTTTTTTTTTTGGGTGGGACTGGATTTTAAACTCAGGATTTCACACTTGCAAAGCAGGTGCTCTATCACTTGAGCCACACCTCAGGTCATTTTGCTCTGGTTATTTTGGAGATGGGGGTCTCATCAACTATTTTCTTGGGCTGGCCTCGAAACGCAATTCTCCCAATCTCAGCTTCCCAAGTAGCCAGGATTACAGGTGTAAGCAACGGGCCTCTGGCTTTATTCATTTTTGAGACTGGGTCTTGTTCCAGAGCTCAGGCTTGCCTCCCAGTGCTGGGATTACAGGTGTGCACAGTGTGTCTGTCTCTCTGAGCTTTTTCATCACCACAACTGAAACACTGTACACTTGTGGCTTATACGTATAATCCTAGTTACTCAGGAGGCAGAGATCAGGAGGATGGTGGTTCAAAGTCACCTCAGGCAAACAGTTTGTAAGACCCTATCTCAAAAATACCCAACACAAAGAAACAGGGCTGACAGAAAGGCTCAAGTGGTATAGCATCTGCCAAACAAGTGGGAGGCCCTCAGTTTAAAGCCCGGTATAGCTACAACAAACAAAAAAGAAAATGTTTTTTTTTTTTTTACTCAGAAAGGGTCATTCTTTTGAACTTTGGTATGAAGAGTGGTAGAAGAGACATTTTCCAGCCAAACTAACCTTGGAGTGATAGGTTAGCCATAGTCTTCTCATCTAATTTAGTAACCTACCTCTCAGCCACTGCCAGCAGCCGTTCTGGCCTAAAGGTGCCCTCTGTGTCAATGTACATGGCCTTTCCTTCACCTCCACCTCGGTCAATGGGAAGCTAGAGAGAAAAAAAGGAACAGTGAAATGGTCACTATTTCTGATACAGCTGACCAAAGTCCTCATGATGGGTCTAGAATTCCTCCCACTCCCAATAAAGGAAAAACAAACACTTTAAAAGTGACCATCAGAGTTAGCAAACAGGCATTCTCCTAAACAGACATACAATTTAGAAGATATGGAGCTCACTGTGGATCACAGAACATACAGCTAGAGTCTAGTCAGAATGGATTATGTGCAAATACAGTCCAGAGAACAAGGTAAAGTTCAGACTGAATACCAACGGAAGACTGATCAGTTCAAGAGTACAAATATTTGAGATCATTTACCTTAGATTTAATCAATAAGGGATGCTAGTCTAATACTCAATTTTAGTATGTCCAAACCAAACTTACGGTTCACTTTACTGAACATCTCAATCCTGAGAGCTACACAAAGGGGCTTGTCAGTGCCCCAGAGGCACTATGAGCAAGAAAGAAAAATGGTATTTGTTCCAATAGTATATACAGATGCTAAAAATGAACAAAGGAAAAACCATTTTTCTTTTTTCGGTAGTACTGGAGGTTGAACACAGGGCCTCTCACTTGTTTAGGTAGGTGCTCTATCACTTGGGCCACTCCATCAGCCCTAGAGGTTTTTTTAAAAAAGAAAACTGTTTCATGAGCCACTTGAAGAAATGTGCTTTAGGCTATGATCCCGTATCTGGCACCTTTTAAATCTTCTCAAAGTTTTAAGTGAATGACGAAGGATAGTTTCCAACCTAGAAATCTACTTTAGAGCCACAATTCACCTTTAAATTCTAACATTAAGTGCCTGGTAGCACCATTTTTTTTTCTCTTATCTTTGAGGAATTTTTTTTAAATTATAAAAGAAGGAAATACCTGGGGTAAAAATTCAAACAACATAGTGGCTCAGTACCAGTGGCTCACACCTCTGATCCTAGCTACTTGGAAGACAGAGATCAGGAAGACTGCAGTTCAAAACCAGCTAGGGCAAATAGTTCCTGAGACCTTATCTCGAAAAGAAAATACCCAACAATAAAAGGCTGGTGGAGTATCTCAGGTGGTAGCCTCAACCTAGCAAGTGTGAGGCCGAGTTCAAAATCCCCAGTATCACACACATGCAAAAAAAAAAAAAAAATTGAAAATTTTTTTTACCACTCCCCATCTCTGAGAAATAACCTTCTAAGATTATATTCTGTGAATTTCCCCATAAACACTTTATATATGGTTCAACCACTTACTATGACTGAGAGCATTCTCAGCTCTTTTCTGTAAAATGCAGATAAAACCCACCTATGGGATTTTTTCAAAGATTAAAGTGAAACAATTTATATAGTGTTTAAACATTGTCTGATAAGCAGAAAGTACTTTCAAGATATAATCCCCCAATTTTTAGGGTACAGATTTTAATGTATACTTAGTTACAAAAGGCTTTGTTAACTTAGAAGGGGAAAATTATAATTTGGAAGATTGGCAGATAAAATATTTCAAATCATGGGAATGTATGGAAGGAACAAAGGACATGCATACAACAAAAAAGGGTCTCAATCCAGTAAAGATTTGGAACCCCTGGCCATTACAACAGAAAGCAGAAGCTGCCTTGGTTCTTAGAGAGGAAATCAGGTGAGCGAGGCGCCCTTTCTCTCACCCTGTAGTATCTGCAGGGCTATCATGAGAGGTTCTTTTGTAAATGAGTAGACTTCTTCAGGCAGAAGGGAGGCTATAGGTGACAGGGCACAGGAAGGCAGACTGACTGTTGGGGAGCAGACAACATTACAGGGCCAACTGGGCCAGTGGCAGCCTGGAGCAGACGCGGAAGAATGGACTATATGCTCTTTCCCAGCATATAGTCTTATTTTGCTCTCTCCACCTTGCCATTTTATGTTACTGCACTGTCAGGTTAGCAGTTGTTAAATTAGTACCATAATTTAATTATGCTTCCTATTTTATAACAATACATGTTATTTCTCACTTTTATCATTTTAACAATGCTGTTGTGTAAATTCTCTCCTTATTTACCTCTGGAAATATATAAAACATCCTGCAAGATAACTTTTCTGTGTAGGTGTGGCTGGCACTGCATGTCTATAATCCTAGCATTTGTGAGGTGGAGTTCAGTGAATAAGACAGCCTGGGCTAGATGGTGAGACTCTATCTTAAAAACATCCAATGAATTTTATGATAAAAAGCATGTGCGTGTTTGGGTTTTTGGTCTTTGTTGGTATGAAATAGGGACTCGCTGTGTAGCCCAGGCTGACCTTTAACTCATAATCCTCCTGCCTGGATTCCAGGCATGTATCACCATGCCTGGTGAGCCAGTTTTTTTTTTTTTTGCAGTACTGAGGTTTGAATTCAGATTCTCAGGCTTGTTAGGGTGCTTTACCCCTTGAGCCACTCAGGCAGTCCCAAGCATGTGGTTTTAACATTGTTGGGTGCTTCTCAGAAACCCTAGTAGCACCCAAAAAAAAAAAGGAAAAGAAGGTCTTTGCTGAATTTTAAGATAATTCTAATACTTCAAACAAGTACAAGTTGCTTATTTTGTAACCTAACTGTAGCAGTAATCTAGTAACCTAACACCTCTCTATACCTTTGCTTCCAGTTTTCTTTTTTTTTGGTGGTACTGGGGTTTGAACTCAGGGCCTCACATTTGCTAGGTAACCACTCTACCATGTGAGCCACTATGCCAGCCATTTTTTGTGTTGGGTATTTTCAAGATAGGGTCTTACAAACTATTTCCCTGAGCTGGCCTCAAACAGTGATCCTCCTGATCCTGCCTTCTGAGTAGGAAGGATTACTGGTATGAGCCACCTGTGCCTGGCTGGTTCCAACTCTTAAGATTGGTGAAATACAATCTTTTTTGAGTTGTCATGGCAATGATGGATAGTGTATACTGTACTCTAAATGTTTATTCCACACCAATCCTTTTGAAACATGGAGAAAACATTTCTATTTAAAAAGGTCACATATCATGTTTAATGACCCATGTCAGGTTGAATTGTTTGTTGTTTATTTATTTTCTTTTTTGAGACAGATCTCACCTAAATGCTTGATCTTCCTGCCTCAGCCTCGTAAATGCTAGGAGTACAGGCATGTACCCCCATAGCAGACTAAAATCCGCATTTTTGGCATATGTCATCTTTTACCATAACACAGCATTATACTGATATAACATTTTTGATAAAGTACTATTTGAATTAAGAAGAAATTATAAAGGATGGTTCTTAACTTGTTTTCTAAGGGGGAAAAAAAAAACCAAGAGAATTTATATATTTGACGTCTAAATGGATAACTGAGGCTGGCAGGGTGGCTGAAGTGGTAGAGCACCTGCCTAGCAAGTGTGAGGCTCTGAGTTCAAACCCCAGTGGTGCCAAATTAAAAAGGATAACTGAGTTCCAAGAACTACTGTTACTTCATTGAGAAACAATAACTCACACTTGAGAGAAGAAGAGTGATACACTGCTGAATTTTCTGCTTATGAAATAAAATTACTTTTCAGGATTAAATTTGAAAATTAGCACTACAGAACTGTGGATGAAGGTTTCCCTTTTATAAGAGTTTTGTTTTTTACCAGAGCTTAAACTTCCATTTGGCAATTTCTTACCTTTGAAATGTTAACATTTGCTAACTTCTGGATATCCTTCTGGTTATACCAAAGAAAAAATATGGCTTTTTTCCCCTTGAACTGCCTGCAGCATCATATCCTAATTTAGAAAGGTTTACCAAATCTATTATATATATTGAAAAAAAATGGTGAATAGCTCTTGTTAGCTAAATAAACTGATACAGGTTGGTAGGGTTTGGCTATTAATTAGCCCTGGAGAATGAGGTTTTAGATAAAAAAGATTTTTTTGAAACAAACAAACAAAAACTCACATTTGGAAAGACACTAGGAAATTTCTCTAACACAGTGATTAAAAAAAAGTTATTCTTGAACTCTACCAATCCTTATGTATTTTACATCCTTATATACTTTAGTGGTAGAGCACTTGCTTAGTGTGAATGAGGCCCTAGATTGAATTCCTCCCCAGTACTGCCAAAGGAAAAAAATGTTATGTCCATGGCAGAACTGAGAATAATCAATCTATATTAGAACAATGAAATTTTTGGCTGGGTGTATGGCTAAAGTGGTACAGTACCTGCCTAGCAAGCACAAGGCCCTGAGTTTAAACCACAGCACTACTAAAAACAAAAAATAAACTAATGACATTGTCTTCAAAATATCTAAAACTGGCCAGGTACAGTGGCTCAAGCCTATAAATCCTAGCTTCTTGAGAGGTGGAGATTGGGAGGATTGCAGTTTGAGCCAGCCAGGGCAAAAATTTGAGAGAGCCCATCTCAACCAATGGCTTGACATGGTATCACAAGAACCTGTCATCCCAGCTATGCAGAAAACACAAATAGGAGGATTGCTGTTCAGGTGGGCCCAGAAATAAAGCAAGACCCTATCTCAAAAATAACCAACATAAAAAGAGCTGCAGGAGTGGCTCAAGTGATAAGACTACCTACTGGCAAGCTCAAGGCCATGAAACCAAACCACCAAAAGAAAAAATTCTTAAAATTGTAATAAAGCCTGAAGAGATCTTAACACAAGAGTTGGTCTATCAAAATGGTCCAGACTCAAGGGTAATTTGTTAACTGGCCACTCACAACAGCATATCCTTAGAATATTAGGAAAAGAAAAAAGGGCTCCACCATGAAACACTGCTTGAAGTTGTAGAATAAGGAAAAATTCGCTTTCTCTTTTGTATCTTATTCCCCTCTGCCATAAATCTTTCATTTCCAGAGATTCCACTGTTACTTCTTCTGTATGATGTAGTTCCATATCCCTCAAGACTGTTAGGCATAGCTGCAGTCCAGCTACTTAGGAGGTTGAGACAGAAGATCACTTGAGCTGAGGAGTCTGAGATTAGCCTGAACAACACAGACCTTGCCTCAAAACACTACCAGGCACAGTGGCAGGGAGGTAGAGATTAGAGCCATTCAAGGCCAGGTAAGGCAAAAAAATTAGTGACACCCAATCTCAATCAGTAAACCAAGCATGGTGGCATATATCTGTGATCTCAGCTACATGAGAGGATTGCCATCTGAGGCTGGCCTGGATAAAAACATGATTGTACCTGAAAAGTAGCTAAAGTAAAAAAAGGGCTGGAGGAGACTGGCTCAAGTGGTAAGATTACCTGCTTAGCAAACAAAAGGTCCTGTGTTCAAACCCCTATGCTGCCAAAACCAGAGAAAACAACAAGGAAAACACTGCTAAATGGCCTAAGGGTATATACAGCTCACTGATTTGCCTGGAATGGCAAGACATTGAGCTCAATCCCAGCATCACATACACAAATTTAAAAATACTGCTAGATATTTTCACTAAGAGCCTTTTTTTTTTTTGTCACTTCCAACCTACCACCTCTAAGTTTGAATTCATCCCTCCATAAAACTATCACCCCTTCCCAAATCCTTTGTAAGATTACAAAATTAATACATTGTTTAGCTAAGGGCTATTTTTTTAAAGGGGGACAGTAAAGTCATTAAGTGTTGCCCTTTATCATATATTCTGCCTGTTTCCCCTTGGTGATTTGTTTGGTCTAACCAGTTAATGCTTTTAGAATTCCTAAATAAAATATTCTCAGCTCTAGTCTTTCCTTTCAATCCATTCAATAGGTTGCTATCAGAATATTTCTGTTACATTTTTCGGTTGAAAAACATGAACAGAATGTGAAAAATTCTTTTCATAACCAAGTTTAAACTTCTTACCTTCACACATGTAGTCTTGTTAAATGTTTTTCTTTTGTCAGCACTGGGTTTGAACACAGAGACCTGTGCTCTTTAGACAGGTGATCTACCATTTGAATCATTCCACCAGCAGTCCCTTATTACATCTTTTTAAGGTTTATTTCCTACAACTTTTCTAAACACCCAGCAGGGCTTTTGTTAATGGGTTTATTGTCTTCTCATATATTATGCTTCCCCATTTCCTATTCCTTTGTCTATCCCATGTGATGCAGTTAAATGCTTATAATTGCTTTGTCTCTCCAAATGTAGGATTCCTCAGTCTCCTGAAATACTGTTTGATATGCAAGGGTAAAGTAACCCCTCTTGCTTCCTGAACAGTTAAGCTACTATTTCCCCTACACCATTCACTTTGCGTCGGGGCATGCCTTAGGACATCTGTTCATTCAAGAATTATGATTGAATAGGACATGGTGACATGTTCTAATAATCCCAGCAGTAGAGATAGGAAGATAGGAGAATCTCAAGTTTGAGGCCAGCCTACACTACACAATGAGACCACCCTGACTCAAAAAAATTATCCAGTGTTTACTGACTGCTGAGCACTGACTTAGCTCCCAGCAATATAGCAGAGAGCAAGCCAGTTAGAGGCTCTACCCTTATGTTTTAAGACCATGGGCTCTAAAGTCTGGCTTAATTCCTCTTTTTACCACTTAAATGCACTATATTAGGCAGTAATTTAATCCAGGAGCATAAGTAAAGAATGAAGAAACTGAAGGGGTCCAGGGAGGATTTTTTTCCTAATAGAGAAAAGAACAGGCACACCTGTGTTCCAATGAGAATAATCTAGGAGAAGTAGGACAGAGTAGTCTTTGAGAAGGTGACAGGAGATGGTTACCAGATTACACTACTAGGATGGACTATGATAGGAAAATGGACTCTTTCTCCATTCTAATTTGAGATAGGAAAAGATGGGGACAAATGTAGCCGATTTATAGATTTAATGTGAAGAGTAGGTTAGGTCATTAGCTGAGTAAGGGACAGAGGTTTGAGGAGAGCAGATAATTGCCTGAGTGACAAAGTATATTTAAATGGAGAAACTCAGTAGATTCATCAGGTAGTACAGAATACTAATTTAAAGTCTGTCATCTTGAATTTAAGGCGACAGCCCGCTAGGGATATAGCCAGTGGCAGAGCACTTGCCTAGCATGCTTAACATTCTGGCTTTGAGCCCTAGCGCTATAAAAAGTGTTTTCAGTCAGCTCTATGGTAAGATTTTTCTTCAGTATGGTCAGTATTTTAGGCACAGGCACTAAGAAGACAGGGTTCAACTAAGATTGACATCTCTTCAAATATGTAAACTGAGGTTATTTGTAAATGAATCATAAAGCAGACCAATGGAGAAAAAAGCAAGGAAAAGTTAGAAGAGGCCTAGGGGATAGTAACAAAGCACTTAAAATTAATTTGATTAGCTAGAGCCCCAACAGCTCACCTGGCATGTCACAGCCAAAGTGTGACAGATCTGGGTCTTCCCAGTTCGGAATTCTCCAAACATCTCTGTGATAGATCCAGTCTCAATTCCACCTAAAAGTATAATAAGATGCACTGTTTAGTACAACATAAACATTTAGAAACTATAGTCATAGCAATATTCTTGGAGCTGATCAAAGATTTTCATATAATTTGGAAATCCAATTTTCAACAAGGAGCAACTGAAAAACTTATCTTGATATAATTATAGATTTATAGGAAGTTACAAAGATGCAAAGAAATGTACAGGGAGGTTCTGTGCACTGGCTTGTTCTCTGCTATACTGCTAGGGGCTAACTTGTTAACTTGCCTCCACAGTGTTAACATCTTGCATAACTATAGCATAGTTATACACAGTGTACTATAGCATATTGATATCAGATGTCAGTATCAGAAAGGTGACATTGGAGGACTGCAGGTGTTAGCTCAGTGGTAGAACACTTGCCTAAGCAAGTACAAGGTTCTGGGTTTGAAACCCAAAAAGCCATAAATTGTAACTGGGCATGGTTGTGCACTCTTACAATCCTAGCTCTTAGGAAGTTGAGCATTGAGAGGTCAAGGTCAGCCTGGGCTACATATTAACATACTGTCTCAAAAAAAAAAAAAAAAAAAAAACCAAGTAACTTGACATTGGTAGAACCCACAATTTGCTCAGATTTCTCCACATATAAACTCATTTGTGGGGCTATATAGTTTCTAGACAATTTTATTCTATGTGTAGCTTCATGTAACCATCGCCATAAACAAGCTACAGAATTGTACAATCACAGATCAACAAATAGACTTCATAAATGATGAAGTAAGCAGGGCAGTGGTGGCTCACACCTAGCTTCTCTGGAGGCAGAGATCAGAGTTGAAAGCCATCCTGGGCAAACAGTTCACAAACTCTTATCTTGAAAACACCCAACACAAAAAACAGCTGGTGGAGTGGCTCAAGTGGTACAGCATCTGCCTAGCAAGTATGACACTCTGAGTTCAAGTCCCAACACTGCCAAAAAAAGAATTAAGTAGTATTATCTAGAAGTCACTAAATGTTTGTGCACTTAGCATTGTGCTATGTATTTATAGGCATCATTCATTTAATTCCAATAATCAAAGAAGGTATAAAGTCCTTTCATACTCATTTCGAAGAAAACTGATGCACAGAGATATTAAAAACCTTTCACCATGTAATCCAGGCAGCGTATGTTGGGAGTGGTATCACTCAAATTTGAGTGTAATTCCTGGATTTATACTATTTTCTACCCTGAAAAGTGAGAAAGGTTGAATGATTAAATAACTGGGTAAGCATCAAGGACCAAATCTAACCTTACAACAATTAGGACAGCTATACTCTCAGAGTTCAAAACCAGCCAGGTGCAGGTGGCTCACACCTATATCCTAGCTTCTCAGGAGACAGAGATCAGGAGGCTCTTGGTGTGAAGTCAGCCCCAGACAAATAGTTCTTGAGACCCTATTTCAAAAAAAAAGGGCTGGTGGAGTGGTCAAGGTGTAGGCCCTAAATTCAAGCCCCAGTACTGAAAGAAAGAAAAAAACAAACAAAAAAACAATGACTGCCTAGTAAGCATAAGGCCCTGAGTTCAAACACAAGTGCTGCCAAAAAAAAAAAAAGTTCAAAACCTTACAGCTTTCCTTAAAGTCCTAAAGACGAATTTGCATTAATATTTTGGGGATGGGAATATAGCTCAGTAGCACAGCGCACATGGCCGGGATATGACGCACATGCACACCCCCCCCCACAGTCATTAAATCTTCAACCTTGTGACAGAACACAGTAGGTTATAATCAGTTATAGGCACAGGAAAATTATTCTGTGAGTACAATATTAAATGAAGATTGAATTACTTAATATACAGATAATTATAGTATTTTGAGTCAAGTCCCAACAGCAGGGACAGTAGTCTTTCTTTAGCAACATTCATTCTTCTCTTATGTTGTAATCACATCTAACATATAAATCCTACCCATACATCTTAGTTTTCTTCTATGGCCTGCACGCTTTGCTAACTAGAGTTTATAAACTATACCTTGAAGTAGTTTGTCAAGCTCTTTGGAGCCAGTAGTAATCTGTATGATCTCCGACCGCCTTTGGTGGAATTCAGTTGCAGTTGTGAAACCCATTGGAACTAATTTAGCTGCCTCAGACTAGGAAGAAATAAGAACTATTAGATCAAAATAATACCCGTTGAGTAACCAGAAACATTTCAGATTTAGATTTTTGTCACATTTGGAATGCTTACCTAACAAGGGATTGCGCAAAGCCCTGGGTTTGATCCCCATCATCAAAAACAAACAAACAAAAAAAACCCCAAAAAACAAACAACAAAACACTATTAATTCTGTGTGTGTGTGTGCGCGCGCGCGTATTTTTGGCGGTACTGAGGTTGAACTCAGAGCTGCATGTTTGCTAGGCAGGGATACTACTCTGTGAGCTGCTCTACCAGCCCTTTTTGTGTTGTTTATTTTTGAGATAGGGTGTTCTTACGTTTTATGTTCATGCTGGCCTGCCCTAGAGCCTCCTATTTGTGCTTCCCTTCCAAGATGGGATGACAGGCACGCACTACCACACCCAGCTCTTGGTTGAGATGGAGTCTCCCAAACTTTTTTCACCAGAATGGCCTGGAACCACAATATTCCTACTCTTTACCTCTGAGTAGCTAGGATTAGAGGCTTGAGCCACCATGCGCAGCTATATCTTAATGTATAACGAGATATTAAATAAGTACACAAAATCTCAGATTGGCCATTTGATTAAGCTACATGGCATAACTAAATGCACTGAAGCTACTCAATAATAAATAATGCATTCTTTTTGAAGCTTCTTTAGCTTTTGAAGATTATATTTCAAAGAAAATTTCTTTGGAAGTTTAGCAGTAATCAACAAAATGTATGAAAATATAATTTTGTAGATAACTTTGTTTCACACTACATAAAACTTCAAAGGTAAAGCTGAGCTTAGGGTGTACATTGGTGGTAGGGCACTTATCTAGCTTGCAGGAAGCTCTGGATTAGATCCTTAGCGATGGAAGGAAAAAAAGTGCTGTGTTGAGCCAGGTGTGGTGACACACTGTACTCCAAGCTATTGGGAGGGTGAAGCAAGAGGATCACCTTACAATGAATTCCAGATAAACCTCAGCAACATAGCAACACTGTCTCAAAAAGGAAAAAAAAGGTAAAGCTAATCAAACTGTAAATATACAAATACCAAAGCAATTAGATTCATACAATAAAATGCAGTCATGGAGAATTAAGGGGGCTACAAGAAAAACAGGAAGTGAAGTGTCATTTTTAAGAGGATGAAAATTACGGCATTCTAGTCTTAGTCTTGAGTCATGTACATGTAACGTGACACTGGATAAGATAACCTTTGTATTTAACTTTATAAAATAGAAAATATTGGTCCTGTCTTCTAAGTGTCACTATGAAGGTAAGCTTGAGACCCTGAGTTCAAACCCCAGTGCCACCAAAAAAAAAAAAAAAGTAGACTTCAGAAAATTGAAGCAAAAAGATTGGCTTGGGTATAGATCAGTAGTAGGGCTCATACTCAACACAGGAAAAAATCCCTCATATTCCTATCTAGAAATAACAATGTTATTATTTTAGTGTATTTACCCATAGGGCATGTTGTATAAATACATATGTAAATACACACATTTTAAAAACAAATATCGAATATATATATTTTGCTAACCTGCTTTTGTTTTTCCTTCAGAGCTGGGAGCTGAATCCAGGGCCTAAAGCATGCTAGGTCCTGCTGACCTATATTTCCAGCTCTAACTTACATTTTCCTTTTCTTTTTTTTGACACCAGTTTTTAATTTAATGGGAAAAAATGGTTAACAAGAAATCTGGTAGCTGTTTCACTAATAATGCTAATATATAACTTTGTTTGAAATTTTTTTATTAGAGTATATTTGTTATATAGAGGGAATTCATTGTGACAATTCCAAATAGGTTTATATTGTACATTGGTTAGATCACCCCCACTGTCTCTACATTTTCTTGTATCAAGAATATTTTATCAATACTTTTCTAAACTGTTGTAGTGGCTTCATACAGAATGAATGTATTTCTAAGATATGGACCATAATATTTTAAAAAGATAATGGACACTCTAATCACTGCACGTGGGAGTGTAAATTGGAATTGAATCTAGCAATATTTTAGGTCAAATCCCATGACACTGCAATTCTCCACACAAAACTTGAATTCATGCCAGGAGGCTCATGCAAAGATAAAAAACTGATGACTATCAGTCCTAGGAAGACAGACAGGATGCCAAAAGAATGACGGTAGAGGAGGAAGACTATCTTTCATTAGGTACCGTTTTGTACTGTTCCCACTGTGGCCCTAGGTCACATAGCTGTACTTACCAGAATCTTATCAGCTTTGGCCTCACTAATTCCCTTAATATTTATTAGCTCCTTCTTTGGTGCATAGGCAACAGCCTCCACAGTATGGAACCCAGCTTCTTCCAATTTCTTCACGTCATTGGCATTTATGCCACATTGCTGTAAGTAAAGAAAACCATGGATAAAATTAAGCCTCACTTCGCTTATCTAACATGGATACTATGTCATCTCACTACTTCACAGAGATGCTTAAAGAATTGTAATACTGGACAACTGGCAGGGCTCAAGATGTAAAGTACCTGCCTGGCAAGTGCAAGACCAACTTCAAACCTCACCACCACCACCACCCACCCACCCACACACAGTAATACTATATACAAAAGTCTGAGATGTGTGCCCTACATATGAAGCATTAAGTAAATTATGAACCTTTTCATCATCAAAACCAGTAGTTTTAAACTAGCACTATGCCAGGTCTATTAAAATGAGCTCTTATTAACAATTAGGATTAAAACAGTAACTACCAACCTTTTTTGATGGTGCCTCCCAATAATCTTCAAGACCTTGACCTCTAAAGCCACTTTATTTAAACCAATGTTTCCCAACACTCCACATCAAGTACATAGAAAATGTTATTTATATACTATACTAAGTAAATACAGAAGGCCGTCCCCAGGCCAAGAAGAGCAGATCTTGGCATATTAACAATCCCCTGCCTTTTTATTTTATTTTTTTTAAGAACAGTAACTAGAAGGCTCTGCTTTAACAACTGACACTAACAGCAGAGTGTGGAGGTATACACTGTAATCCCAGCTACTTGGGAGGCTGAGGCAGGATGGCAAGTTTTCGACCAGTTTGAGCTACACAGAGTTCCAGGACAGTTTAGACTATACAGCAAGACCCTTGTTCTCCTCCTTCCTCCCAAAAAGAGAGAAAACCACTTTTAGTCAATAAATTTAGGGCTTTGTGCTTGTGAGGCAGGTATTCTACCATTTGCGGCACACCTCCAGCCCAGGCATGACTACTTTCATATGACTTCCTAAAACAAACCACCCAAGGGCTCCTCTTTCTTTCTCCCTATACACAAGGTCAGCTTTGGGTTTGGGGTTTTTTTTTTTGGTGGTACTGGGTTTGAATTCAGAATCTCATGCTTGCTGAGCAAGCACTCTACCACCTGAGCCGCGCCCCTATTTCCTCAGCTTTGGATTTATTTACCACTGAAACCAAAACTTCTGACAGAACATAAGTTAGTGGAAGGATGTATATATTTGGGGTTCAGGGCAGATTTAGGACAGAGCAAAGATGAGTATGTGCCAGCAGAAACTACATATGCTTATTAATATTTAAGTGATACCAATATGTAAGTATACATACATGATGATCATGGCACCATGAGTCATGATACAGGGCTGGGGGTATGGCTCGGTGGTATAGCACCTGCCTAGCATACATGAGGCACTGGGTGAGGTCCCCAGCACCACATAATAAATAAATGTTACAACTCTGAACTCTCAAATGTTCATCACAAATCCATTTAAGTAACTTGTAGTGTCTTGAAGCTTAACTGGAGGTGGATTATGAAAAAGGAGACAGAAGGTGATGGCTTTCCCTCCCACTTCTTTCAGTCCCAATCACCTGCCTCACAAAATAAGGAAAACCCCAGCTTTTTTGCTTGATAGTTTTATGCAGAGTCCCAAGTGGAACTTGGCTCTAATACCCTAGTAACCCCAAGCCCTTCTTCCTGTCTGTAACAGCTTTCTTGTTAGTAACTTCAGCAGAGATCTGGGTCACTGGAAGGAAAGTGCTCCCTCCTCCCTGCATAACTTGTCCAGGCCACAGTAACTCCCTAGACAGTACTTTCATACTCAGTATAAGAAGCAGATTCAACCATGGAATCCTAGGCCTTAGTTTCTGGCAGTCCAGCTCTTAGAAAGAAAAATGACAAAGTAGAAAGAGAACTGTGGACAAAAGAGAACTGGATAGCAAAAACCTACAGCTTTCTACAGAGCCCTGACAACCTCCTGAAACCAAAATTTGGGTTTTGACCTTAGTAAACCTATGGTTTATGTAAAGGTTATATGTTTATTAGGTTGCAGAATGTAGCATAGCATTGTAATTTAAATATGAGCAACGAGGAACATACCTCTAACCGTGAAATAGGTTGTGGGCCAAAGCTTTCTTCTTCTACTGACGTATCTGCATTGCCTTCAAGCTGCATCTGCATAGCCATCACTGAAAAATACAGACAGCTATCAGTATAGACACTAGAGAAATACTGTACTGTTGGGTTACGTACAGAGCTGCAAGCTAGTTTGGCAACAAGTCTCTGAAGAATTATAGCTGGCCCTCCCTACCTTAGGGTTCCCTGTGAGATTCAACCAACAGCGGAATGAAACTACTTTCCACTGAAAAACACTGGGATGGAGGCTGGGCGCAGTGCTCCCAGTTACTCAGGAGGCAGAGATGGGGAGGGTCATGATCAGAGGCCAGTCTGGGCAAAAAAGTTAATGAGACATTATTTCAATCAATAAAGCTGTGTGTGGTGGTGCACGACTGTCATTCAGCTATTCAGGAAGCACAAATAGTTTCTGTCCAGGCTAGCCTGGGCAAAAACTTGAGCTCCTATCCCAAAAATAACTAAAGCAAAAAGGCCTGGGCGGTGTGGCTCGGGTGGTAGAGCACCTGCCTAGCAAGTGAGGCTCTGAGTTCAAACCCATACTGACAAAAGACAAAAAACATTGCTCAGCTTGGAAAGAATTAAAAACAAAACAACTGTAAATTACCTTTAGTAGCTGGAAGCCAGTGGCTCAAACCTGTAATCCTAGCTACTCAGGAGGCAGAGATCAGGAGGATTGCAGTTCCCAGCTCAGGCAAATGGTTTGTGAGACCCTATCTCAAAAAACCCTTCACAAAAAAAGAGCTGGTGGAGTGGCTCAAGGTGTAGGCCCTGAGTTCAAGTCCCAGTACCGCAAAACAACAACAAAACCCCCAGCAATCTGGAGAATCATAAGTTCGAGGCCACCGTGGGCTACGTAGCCAGACCCGTCTCTAACAGCAAACAGGCCGTTATTAAATGGCGTCAGAAATGGCCGGGCGCCCGGGGGAGGCTCCCGGTGTGACGGCATCTGTTTCTCTCTGAGTGCTGATCACATGCTGTTCACTTTGCAATAATTCACGGAGCTGGGCACGCCTGCGAATTAGACACTTCACTTTACAAAGAAAGTAATTTTTTTGCAGCCCAGGCTGACCTTGAACTCTGATCCTTAGACCGGCCTACTTTAGAATTGTTTTTAAGCCAAATCTCACTTCTGATCACTCCCGAGGCATTGCACGAATGAGTCTCCACATTAAACGACGATCTTCTCGGCAACTGGAGGCCAGTGCTTTGTAAGCAGAGGGATGAAGGCCGACCCGGGCCGCGGAAGCCCTCGTGCTAACACCGAACAGCTGTGGCTGCACCTGTCCCGGGCCTGGCTTCTTCGCTGAAGCCACTACGGGGTCTAAAGGATGTCTTCCCTACCACGAACGCTGAGGGTCGGTTAGGGTCGGTTGGGTCCGGGCAGGTCCCTGCTCCGCCATTTTCGGGATCTCAAAAGCGAGGGGTGGAAGAAAGCCTGGGTCGGCTAACTAGAGAGGGGCCGCCCGCGCCGCACTCACCTGGGACTGCAGAGCGGCTCGCTCCACTCACCGCGGGAGCCCCGCTCGTCAAGTCCCCCTGTCCGGCCTTTTGGACACAAGCGAGGAGTTTCGGCTCCAAACTGCGCGCTCCCGGCACACCTCAGCTCCGCTCAGGCCCGCGCGTCTCGCTGCAGACACTCCCAGGCGGGCGACTTTCGGAAATCCCGCCAAATCCTCACGGCAGGTCACGCCGGCGTCGACGTGACGTCGCCCCGCCCTTCTCGGACGCGCAATCTAGCCACTTCCGCCTCTGCCCGCGAGCCGGACAGATGGGCCAAAGGAATTTAAACCTACGAGGTATTGTGAATTTCGGTCTTCCTTCCTCCCAAAGAACTAATTCTAACTTTCCGAGTGGTGCCTTCTTCTCCTTATAAGCAGAGGACTACAAGTCCCAAGAGGAAGCGTGTTCTTCTCCGAACTACATTTCCCAGCACGCACCGCGGCGGACGCTCCTCTTGTTCCGTTTGTGAGACATCGGAACTTGGACCTTGGAATGTTATGGTAATTCAGCACCTCCGAGTCAAATCCCGGATCCAGAAATAGTTCAAGGAATAGTGCTGTCTGTCAGAGGAAGTTTCCGGAAAGTTCTTTAAAGGATGCTAAGAGTAGTTATGTTTAGTGCAGGGTGTTTTGTAGGGAGCTTTGGACTTTCTTCATTAGGTAATGGAGAAATCTTGATTTTGTGATAAATGTTCAGCACAGCTGAGCAGCGGAGTAGGTACACAACCAACACAAACTCAAGGATAACCTTGAAGGCAACGATCCTGGACATATCGCTGGGCATACTGACCTGTTTGGATACCCCAGTCACCCCAAACTATAATGTCCCCACTAGCCATCCTGGGATAGAAAGACTTGCCTTGCTTCCAAGAGCAGATGAAATTGGAAAATGGTTAAACAAGCAATCTACTTAGGACAAGTACTGATGGGTGATTATCTCACCATCACTCTACAAGCATCTTGGAATGCCATAAGTGTACTGGTTTAACGGTGGTACTGACCATTGACAAGCAGCGACTATTTCTAAGAATTTGTGTTTCTGCCTTTCCTTATTGAACGACATTAATTTTAGAATTTTCACAAGTGAGGTTTAAATTACACTCTTTTGAACTTAGTTATGTAAATTACTTGAAGAATTGTATGTACTTCTGAGTTTGACACAGAAACGGATTTTACACAATCTGCTTATTCAGTGTGAAATCTGTATATTTAGCCATGTACAATTATATATTATTCTCTCACAACGTTGATTTCTGCAATAATACTGTTATAATATTGTCCTGATGTGAATGCTAATTGTGTTTACAATAAAGTACGTGGATAATTGAATTTGTTAATTTTATTAATTTTTTTATTAGTAACATTTCTGGTTTGGAAATGAAGGTAGTTTGCATACCTGAAGACAGAAGTTCCTAACTCTGGATTTTGGGTTGTCAGTGGCTCACTACTGTAATCCTAGCTACTCAGGAGGCAGAGATCAGGATGATAGTGGTTCGAAGTCAGCCCAGGACAAATAGTTCAAGAGACTCTCTATTGAAAACACCCATCTATTGAAAACACCCATCACAAAAAAATGGCTGGTGGAGTGGGTCAAGGTATAGGCCCTGAGTTCAAACCCCAGTACCACAAAAAAAAAGATAATTTCCTAACTCATTAATTTTTGCCCTCAATATCCCTGGTGAACTCTTTTAATAGGGGTGGAATATGTATTTGAGTCATTTGGGATTTGTTCTCCTTTCAGTCTAAACACCTTCATTTTCAGCTGTGAGTGTAACTACCTCTCAGCCATGGGTCCCACTAGACTCAGTCTGATATTATCCTTTCACAAACATTGGAACTGCAGATAAGGAAATTTTGGAAATAGATGTTATCAATATTTTGGGGGCCAACTTGTTGCCCCACAGGTATCCTTGGGTTTTTCTTTTCTGGGGCAGGGGACTGACCCAGGGCCTCACGCATGTTAGGCATATTCTATCCTTGACCTACCCCTAAGACTTCCCAAACCTTTTTTTTGGGCACAAGGGATTCTCCAACCCAGTCAGTGGAGTGGCTGATACTACTGTATGACCATGGCACCCAACTGGTCTGGCATCTAAGTCAAGTGGAGCTATTTTGAAATTATGGGGTTTTTTTGGTGGTACTGAAGTTTGAGTTCAGCTTGAGCCACTGCCCCCCACACCCCCAGCCCTTTGTGCTTTAGTTACTTTTCAGTCTAGAGTTTTTGTCCAGGGCCAGGTTCAGACTGTGATCCTCCTACCTGGGACTCCTGCATTGCTAGGATTACAGGTGTGAGCCACCATACCCAACTTCTGTTTTTTATTTTTTTTAATGGTATTGGAGTTTGAACCTCAGGCCTTCACATTTGCTACACATGTGCTCTACTACTTGAGCCACTCTGCCAGCTTCTTTATGTTTGATATTTTTGAGATAGGGTCTCTCAAACTATTTTGCCTTGCCTAGGGTTGAACCATGCGTGGCCTGAGTTCCTGAATAGTTTTTTCTTTTTTTTTTTTGTGGTACTGGAGTTTGATCTCAGGGCCTATACTTTGAGCCACTTCACCATCCCTTTTTTGTGAAGGGTTTTTTTGAGATAGAGTCTCGAGAACTGTTTTGCCCAGGTTGGCTTTGAACCTTAATCCTCCTGATCTCTGCCTCCTGAGTAGCTAGGATTACAGACGTGAGCCACTGGTGCTGGCTTCCATAGGATTTTCTATATATGAGATCGTATTATTTGCAATGCTTTACTTCTTTTTTTTAAATTTTTATTGTTTTATTATTCACATGTGCATACAATGCTTGGGTCATTTCTCCCCCCTGCCCCCACCCCTACTTCTTCCTTTCTTGTAAAGATAGATGCCTTTTATTTCTTTGCCTATTTGCCCTAATCATGGATAAACAAATGTGGGATTTCTACAGAGTGAAATGTTATTTGGCCATAAGAAATAATGAACAGATCCAGAGTCTATCCCAGTGGAGAGCATTTGCCTAGCATGCATGAGACCCTGGTTCAATCCCCAGTCCTGCCAAAATGCGGTGGGGGTAGGAAAGACTCACCTTTACATACCCTAACATAAATGAGAATTGAAAATACTATGCTAAATAAGCCAGTTACAACAGATTACAAAAAATTTATATTATTACACTTCTATGAAATGTTCAGAAAAGGTGTCTACAGAGACAGAAACAGATTATTTTACAGGGAGAGTGGGAAGCAAAGTAAAGGGAGAGGCAATACCTTTTTAGTTGTAGCACATTACACAGAATATTGCCATCTTAACCCCTTTCTTATGGGGACGACTGGAGTTTGAACTCAGGCTTCATGCTTGCAAAGCAGGTGCTCTACTGCTTGAGCCACACCTGCAGTCCATTGTGCTCTGGTTATTTAGGGGGGAGGTCTCTCAAACTATTTTGTCCAGGCTTACCTCAAACCTTGATCCTCCCAATTTCAGCCTCCCAAGTAGCTAGGATTACAGGTGTGAGCCCCCAGCGCCTGGCATCTCCACCAGTGTTTTATGCATACAGCCGTGGTATTAAGTACATACATGTTTCATAGCTTTAGCTCTCACATTTAGGTCTTTGATTCATTTTCAGCTAATTTTTGTATGTGGTGTAAGGTAAGGGTTCAACTTTGTTCTGTTTTTGTTTTTTTCGGGGCTGGGGATTGACCCTAGGTCCTCACATTCGAGAGCAGCACTGTACCATCATTATATCCCGGCCCACAACTTAATTCTCTTGCCTGTGGATATCTAGTTTTCCCAGCACCCATTTCTTGAAAAGCATTTGAGGTGATAAAAAATCTAAAATTAATTATGGTGACAGTCGTATGTATCTGAATATACCAGAGCCCAATTAATTATGTACTTTAAATGGGGAATTTTATGATATATGCATTTTGTTTCAAAAAAGGTGATTAAAAAAGAAAAGTGTGTGGAAAAATCCTACAGATTTCTGGTCCCTATAGCTTAAGTGGGTTTTGTTGTTGTTGTTGTCTCTCAGTGCTAGGGACAGAACCCAGGTCCTTGCATGTGTTAGCTAGGCAAGTGCTCTACCAGAGTTACATCTCCTGTCCCAACACCTACTTTTTCATTCTATAAGGTTTGGGGTAAGGCTGATGCTGCTAATCTGGGACCTATATTTAAGAACCACTGCATTTAGCTCACAGATATGATAGTTGTCTGAGGAACCTCAAAAATATTTTAAAAACTTTTATTATCATACTATTGTTATATTGGGTTGTTTTGTTTTGTGTGCGTGCACTAAAAATTCAACCCAGGGCTTTACACCTTTTAAGCATGTGTTCTACACAGAGGTACACTCCCAGCCCCCACACAGTTTTCATTTACTGCCCTTCAGAGACATAGGGATAGCTGGGATTTGTACCTGGTTCTTACATTCAGGTTCTGACATTTTAGTCTTATCTCAGGTTTCAATTAGGTGAGTGCTCCTAGAGGGAGGTTTCTTTGGTATAACTTCTCAAAAGGTCTGCTGAATACATGGTAAAATACTCTCAATAAAGAGACACTATTTACAAAAGAGTTTAAGTAATAAACTTTAGTAATACAAAAAAAATCTTTCCAATTGAAAAAAGAAAAATTTACACAAACTTTTATGAAGATAACCAACACTTTGAACAAGGAAAACGCAAATTCCTACATAAACATTATAATTACATACTCCACACCCAAGAAAGCAGAAACCATCTCAATTCAAGCCAAATCATTCTTGGAGCAGGTTGTTCTAGTTACTAAATTGCATAAAACAAGACCTCTAAACCTTAGACATGTAGGAAAAAAAATAACTCCAGTAAGAAACTAACTTAAGTTTCATGGGAAACAGACCATACTGATGACTAGCCAAATGAATCTTGTGCTGACTTTTGAAGCAAAAAAGGATATGTAATCTTTTGATGCACAGCTGAGAAGTAAAAACCAAAAGAGGGAAGATAGCATTCATGGGACCAATAGAAGTTTAAACTGATCCTGAAGTAAAGAGCAAAAATTTCAGACAAATTAGTTTAAAAATGCAAATATATTTTAGTTTAGAATTAAATATGAAAGAAACAAAAATTATCATGATTAGGGTTTCACTAAAATTTGGGTAAAAGTTCTCTCAGATTTTTGTCTATGTTATACATAATACTGCTCATTTAATGATCAATGGATATACTTCTTTTTGTGTATGAGGAAGGTATGGCTTCAGGACCCAAAGGTACATTAAGTTTTTTATTATTTCCAAAAACTAGTGTTTTGAGTGTGATGTTGTTTGAAATGTCATTATTTAATAAAAGAAAATTGATAGTCTTGCTGTAAAGCATCCTTTCAAAGGATGGTAACTGCCTAGGCAGAACACCACTAACTCCTTACTACATCACAAATGCAACAACACTGACATATTTACATATATGTACTGGACAAAAATGAATTAACTTTCCTATAAAAATTGTACTAAGGAATTATTAAGAAAACATTAACAGACACTACAGAACAAAAGGCAAGGCTCTCAAGAAAAGATAGCAACTATTCCAGTAGCCTAGTGCTATTGCTTTCTCTCAATAGCATTTCTGAATGGAGGAAAGGGAAAATGAGTAGTTTGTAAGCAGACATGTTCTTTTATTTTTGAGAAGGCATCTCACAATGTTGCTGATGCTGGTTTTGGACTCAGGAGCTCAAGTCATCCTCCCTCTTCAGCCTCCTGAGCAGCTGGAACTATGGGTGTACTACCACTCGAGGCAGCTGACAGACATGTTTCTATTTTAGAGATATCTGCTAAGCAGAAGCCAGGGTACTAAAAATCACAGCTCTAAATATGGGGAAACAGCTAATCTTCAAAGAGAGCACTTTAGTTAGGAGAAATTTTCCCTAAGTGTTCTCAAATATGGGTACAAAGATAAAAAAGCTGATAACAGACAATTGAGGCTTTTAATTCCTGACCACAGATTTTAAATATTGCCATACAAACTAATTATAACATTACCAGGAGAAATTTTACTAGACTTCTATGATGCAAAAGGTTAAAGAGCAATGGAAGCCATGACATAATAAAATCATTAAGTTTTTTTGTTCTTGTTAATGTTTTGTTTTGGTTTTTGGACACATGATCTCACTATGTAGTCCAGGCTGGCTTGGAATTCACTATTGTAGCCCAGGCTGACCTTGAACTCATGATCCTCCTGTCTCAGCTTCCCAAGTGCTGTAATTATAGGTATGTGCATTATGTCCAGCTAAGTACATGTGTCCTGGATGTTACAGCTATGGTCTGTGGGTCTAGCAGTAGAAATGGCAGTCCCGAAGTAAAACTTGATAAATTTGCTTGACTACATTCTTCAGGTAATTGTCCTCTAATGGCACTTTAGATATAATGGTAGCAATCTCATCATGGCTGTAAAGAACAAAAGGTTAATTAATTTTTCTGAAAACTCAGACTTATTTCCAATTCAGTGCTATTCATGGTCTTGGATACCATCTCTGTTTCCTAGGAAATACAAATGAGCATTTCTAGATATAAGCAGCTTTGGCTAGATAAGGTGGCTCACACCTATAATCCCAGCTACTTGGGAGGTAGAGATTGGGAGAATCAAAGTTTGAGGCCAGTCCAGGCAAAAAGTTAGCAAGACCACATCTCAACCAATAGCTGGGTGTGGTGGTACATGTCATCCCAGTTATTGGGAAGCATAAATAGAAGGATCAGTCTAAGATGACCCCAAGCAAAAAACAAAACAAAACCAAAAAAATGGGACCCTATCTGAAAAATAACTAAAGCAAAAAGGGCTGGAGACATGGTTCAAGTTTTAGAGCACATGTTCTAGCAAGCATGAGGCCCTGAGGTCAAACCCCAGTACTGAGAGAAAAAAAAGAAAAAGAAAAAAAGCAGACTCTGCTTGAAATGGGATTCCAACACAAGGCCTAAGAACCACTTCTGTATATAATTGTGAAGTATCTTGACCTAGTTGCTTTCTTTAACTATAAAATTCTAAACTGTTGTTGACAGCTCATGGATTTAAAGTGGGCACATTCTAAACTCTGTATCTTCCAGTGTGTCATCAGTGTGTCTAAAAAGTCACAGTAACAAATTAAAGCTTAGTAAGGATGAGACCCTTATAGGTCTGGTTGCACATACTAATTGAGATTAATATTATAAGTGTGCAACTTCTAAAGCGATATTCTGCTTTAAGAATACAAAAACTGTTTACGTATGATCTGGGCTAAGCTTATGTAGAATTTTTTAATCTCTTGAATCCATTTTAGGTAGGAAGATTCAAAAGGTAAACAAGTATAAGAGAACAGACGGATGGTCTCTGACATCCATTGGAGATAGAAGTAAAGGCCACTGATTTCTTTTGTTTGTGTTTTGACATATCTTACAATGTATCCTAGGCTTGCCTCAAACTCACTATGTAGGCCAGGCTGGTTTCAAACTTGCAATCCCTCTGCCTCAGCCTCTCGAGAACTGGGATTACAGCTGTGATAACCATGCCTGGCCCAAAGTCACTGACTAAATTTTTTTATTGTATTTATTTACTTAATTTGGCAGAACTAACATTTGAACTCAGGGCCTCACGCTTGCTAAGCAGGTACTTTTACACTTGAGCCAGCCCTTTTTTTGTGATGGGTTTTTTTCAAGATAGGGTCTCAAGAAGTATTTGTTCGTGACTGGCTTCGAACCACAATCCTCCTGATCTCTGCCTCCTACTGAGTAGCTATGATTACAGGCGTGAACCACTTATACCTGTCAGTCACTAACTTTAAAAGGAACAAATTCTGCAAAACAGGTCACTGACTTTACAAGAACAAATTCTGCAAAATGAATCAGAAAAACAAAACATGTAGCTCTCATTGCCCATTTGCTGACCACTTCAAGGGATCTTTTTGATGAAATAATGAAGGTTAGAAAAGAGCTCAGAGTCTTATTCTGCTGACTGTTTACTTACCCAGTGTTCCCAAGGTGATTTTGAATGGTGAAGGGTATTGGTACCAATGGATAATGGGCTGAGAGAGACAAAGTTATCTCAAACTTAGCAAATGCTGCAGAGCTGGAGAATAAAAGCCTCAACCTGTAAGACAAGATTCACAATTACAGACTAAAACATGAACACATTTTCTGTTTACACTGGCATGTGAGACTTAAGAATACATGATTTCTTCTTCTTATCAAATGGGACAGAAGATGGGTATATTTGGTTGTTTTTTTCATTGTTAGTCATGAAACATATATACATATGTGTGTGTGTGTCTGTGTATATATATATATGTGTGTGTGTATATATATATATTTTTTTTTTTTTTTTGTTGGCTGTATTGGGTTTTGAACTCAAGGCCTACACTTTTGCTAGGCAGGCACTCTATCACTTGATCCACTCCATTAGCCTTTTTTTGCATCAGGTATTTTTGAGATAGAGTCTCTCCACTATTTGACCCGGCTGACTTCACTATAATCTTCCTAATCTCTGCCTCCTGAGCAGCTAGGATTACCAGCGTGAACCACTGGCGCCTGTCTAGTCATGAAACATGTGAGTTGAGATATATTCCTGTGTGCTGAATATGTTTTGATATGTACAAGTGCTAACCCCTAATACCTCAAAATGTGATCTTATTTAGGAATCAGGTCATTGCAAATTTAACTAGTTGAGGTTTGGGTTGGGGGTGTAGCTCAGGGATAGAGCACTTCCCTTGCTTAGTTTGCATGAGACCTTGGGTTCCATCTCTGGCACACATAAAAAAGATGAGGTTCTGTTGGTTGGAGTAGAGTGGAGCCTAATTTGGTATGACTGGGTCCTTGTAAAGGGGGAAATTTGGCCAGGTGCTGGTGGCTCACGCCTGTAACCTTAGCTACTCAGGAAGCAGAGATCAGGAGGACTGCAGTTTGAAGCCAGCTAGGGCAAATGGTTTATGAAATCCTATCTTCAAAAAACCCATCACAAAAAAGGTCTGGTACAGTGGCTCAAGGTGTAGGCCCTGAGCTCCAGCTCCAGGTAATTAATGGACTTACTCAGTATTCTTTACATCTATGTCCATTAGGTTATAATTTGGTCCCCATCTCTTTAAAAATTCAATCTCCTCTCCAAGGAGTCTGCAATGGTTCACAACCAGTGAAAGTTCTTGAAGCATCTAGAAAAAATAGACAAAAACATCAATGAAATTATAAACTATTTCATTATTTAATGACTCTATTATAACCCCCAAAATGTTAAACAATTGAGTAAACTTAGTATTTCAGTGTACCACTATATAAGGAGAAGCTCAGTAGTGCTTTATAGGACAGACTGTAAATTTTCCTTTAAAATACCATCAGACTTACCTGGGGTACTTGATGCTGTGACGTACATTGCTCCTTCCAGGATTCTTGATCCTCAATGTACTGAAAAATAAGCTTATGAACTAAAAGGGAGGAAGGAGGAGCTCTATCCTCTGGAGATGGAAAAAAAATAATCAAAAACAGGATATTATTTACATTTTATATAAGGCTAAGAAAACAATATTACATAAGCTGGAACTATCCTCAAACTACTACGTACATAAGTATCTTCTTGACTTTTACTTTAAACATGATTATAATATAGATGGTGAGTATAAGACACTCCTACAAAACCTCAAGTCTAAACATACAGAACAGTATTTGGTTTAAATGTAACATGTATCAGAGTTCAAATCCTGGCTTTTTTCTTGTGTGTGTGTGTGTGTGTGTGTGTGTGTGTGTGTGTGTGTGACTAGGGTTTGAATTCAGGCTTCACACTTGCAAGGCAGTCATTCTGCTGCTTAAGCCACACGTCCAGTCCATTTCGCTCTGGTTATTTTCAAGATAGGGGGTGGGTCTCTTGAACTATTTGCTGGCCTCAAACTGCAATCTTCCTGGTCTTACCTCCCAAGTAGCAAGGATTACAGGTGTGAGCCATGAGTGCCTGGCTAAATTCTTGCTTTCATTACCACCTAAGTAGTAAACACTTAATTTTTCTGATCTGTATTTTCCTAACTTGTAAACAGAAGTAATACCTACCTCATAGGAACTGATCCAAATAATACACATGCCTCATATAGACTAAGAAATCATAATGGTAATTTTCAAACTATGCAGCCAGCTATTGTTAATCACTGCTCAAGATCTGGTAATAAGCCGGGTGCCGGTGGCTCACACCTAGAATCCTAGGTACTTAGGAGGCAGAGATCAGGAGGATCACAGTTTGAAGCCAGCACAAGGAAATACTTAGTGAGACCCTACCTCGAAAAAAACCCATCACTAAAAGGGCTGGTGGAATGGCTCAAGGTGTACCCCTGAGTTTAAGACCCAGTACAAAAAAAAAATCTGGTAATAATAAAAATAGTTTTATATCTAAAAACCCATTTTTAAGGACAAATTTTTTCATTTATTCTGTGAAAGAGTTACCAAGAAGTAATTTATACTTGTAAATCATCAACAGATTTTTAGAGGATTAAGTATTTTGAACTTACCATCTAACAGAGACTGAAAATTAAGCTCAACAATCTTCCTCGAAGCCTTGTTCAGGAAAGGGAGACCAACTAAGAAGAATCAAAGAATAGTATTTCTTTTTACTATTTCTTGGTATGTTAGAACTCTGCTCTTCAGGGTAGCAGGGTTTTTTCATAGCAGTTAAAGGTCTACCTTTGAATTGTATCATTCTCTGTATATGGTAAAGGCACCCCTGACACTGCTCAATTACATTCATTCGGTAGGACCTTTGTAAGGTTTTTTGGCAGTACTGGGATTTGAATTCAGGGCCCCACACTTATTAGACAGGTGCTCTACCACTTAAGCCATTCCACCAGCCCTATTTGGTAGGACTTTCAGAGAAATTCAAAGTGTACAATACAGACTGCTGTATTCGTTAATATCTCCTTTAATTTTTGTGCAAAAAAAATTTTTTTCTTAGGAATCATGTAAATAAAATGGCTACCACCTCTCTACACCTATTATCCCTGAACAAGTACAGTAAAATGATTAATGCTTTTAGCATTGCTGCAGTGAATTTTAGGTAATCATTATATATGCTCACTGTAGATTCTAGAGTTATCTCCTGTCTCCCAAATTTGCATTCTTATTAATTAATTATTTTTTTTTTTTTGTGGTACTGGGATTTGAGCTCAGGTGCTCTACTATTTGAACCACTCCACCAATTCACAAATTTGGATATTCTCTTTGTTGCATTCTTTGCTAAATATTTTTTAGGTGGTAGGTACTATGGGTACCATAATGAGAAACACAGACATGATCAACCCATGTCTTGAAAAGGGTTTACATCTTGAGAGGACACACAGATAACTACACCAATAAACAAGTGGAACTACAAACTGGGATGCGTGATACTAAGGAAAAGTGCAGGGAACAATGAGAGCACATAACAGAAGGGCATATGCCAGAGAGAGTAGGTAAAAAGAGAGCCATGGAAAACTTTCTTGAGAAGTGACAATTGAGCTTAAGGATCATCAGTAGGAATTTATTTGTGAAGACTGGGGAAAGCTGCCAGGCATAAGGAACATCAGTATTAAAATCCTGAGGAGCTGGGCACACATCTAAAATTCCACTGTTCAGGAGATTCAGGCAGGAAGATGTGACTTCAAAGCCAGCCTGGGCTACAGAGTGAGATATTATTTAAAAAAAAAAAAAAGAAAGGGAAGGAAGGAAGGAGGGAAGGAGGGAGGGGAAAAAGGAAGGTAGGAAGGAAGGACACAGGGAGGGAGGGAGGGGGGAGGAAGGAAGGAAAGAAGGAAAGAAGTCAGTCAGTCTTGAGGTAGAATGGAATGACTGAACATGAAAGACCATGATCACTTAAGGAAATGAAAGAAGTCTGTCCGGTCAATGTGCAGAGAATATATAGGAAGGTGGTATAAGATGAGGCAGGAAAAAGAGGGAGAAATCAAATTTA